TGTAAATTTATAAAAATATATATATATAAAAAAGGGTGAAAGAAAACCATAGTCTTCTGTTCTCATCTTCACAGTGCCTTCACTCGCGCTTTGTACTCCGTCCCTCTCTCGATTCGCGATTTCTCTTCTTCGCTCGAACCAACGACGTCCGCCGAGGAGGAGGCCTTGAAGAGAAACACCGATTGCGTCTATTTCCTCACCATTTCTTATCTTTTTCCTTCACATTCTCCAAGCTCCAAACTCCTGAATCCTCAAACTCTAAACCCACCACCACCCTCCTCCGTTTCGTGGACCAAGAACCCCTCTCCTTCTCCTCTCCCTCCCGGTGTGCGCCATTATTCTTTTTATTATTTATTTTTCCAAGACGCGAAGTAAGTTCTAGGCTTTTTATTATTATTTATTTATTTTGTGGATAAAATAATATATAAAAATATATATTTTTAATATATAACGTATTTCAACATGTCGGAATTCTTTATTTTTTTTAAAAATAGCGTATCGCGTGTCATGTCGTATCGCGTATTGGTGCTACATAGGTAGCAACTATGAGGGTACTTTAGCTACTCTATCAATAACAATCCTGAGCTATGCTACTGAACAACTATGAGGGGACTCGATTTTCTATTGGAGCTCCCTTCTCGTTGGTGCTCAGTGATCACTGCCTTGTAGAGTTTTACTGATGCAACAGATTTTCTTTTTTCTCTTCTTCTTTTAAGGTTGGTATACACCTTATGTGTCGCAAACTCCAGGACAAGAAGGGCAGCCACTGTATGATCATATTAAATGAATGAACAAAGACGCGCACCCCAGCATTATGACATACATCATGTATGTTGAACGACTTTCACAGCCACGACAATGGAAAAGAATATTTTTTTCAAGTGAAATGAATGGATAGACCCACTCTGTATACATAGAAATAAAACATTATACACATGCTTATACAACAGCTTGATCATTAAATATGCAATCACTATATGATGTGGAATTAATGACATGGCATATGACGTGGCATAGATGGGGACATGACAATGATGACGCAGTAAGATCACATGAGATGGGCAAAAGTGTCAAAAAGGTCCTTAGCCTATTGCATTAGTGCTAATTTAGTTGTAAATCATTTTTTGTTGCCAATTCAGTCCTAAACCTTTTTGTCTTTGTGCTAATTCAGTCATTCCGACTAATTTTGATCGGATTTTGCTGACTTAGATGCCGATCGGCTTATGTGGCACCACCGGCGATGACGTGGACAACTTTAAATAATATTTATTTTTTGAATTTTTTATTTTTTTTTCTTTTTCTTTTTTTCTTTTTTTTTTTCTTTCCCTTTCTTCTTCCTCTAGTTGGTGGCCGGACTGGCGATGTATATATGGAATTTCTATATATTTTGATGTATATATTGATGAAAAATACATCAGCTTATTTACAAGCTTCATTAGATAATTATTTTAAAGATAGTATTTCAATCAAAATATGCACCATCAAAAGGAAATATACGTGCAATATTGAAAAATATGGATAATCAACAGAATTATTAAAATATCTCTCACAAAGGAAATGATTTTAGAGAAATCCCTAATTATCTCTACCTCCACCTTTGATGGAATTCAAACTCTAGCTTTGGTGGTTGGAAGAGAGATATGTCAAAATCCCTTCCCGTCTAGTCGACCAAGTCACGACAATTTATCGCTAAAAAACCTTCACTCCTTATTTCACAAACAGATTCTTAACTACTACTTTATTTGATTTGGAAATTTTTCGACTTAATCAAATATGACAATTTCTGATGACTGATATTCTATCTACCAAAGATAAATTGCGAAATTTGAACATCGCATTTTCAAAAAGCTTTTCCGATTACGTGTGCGATGGTCCGTGGTAATTAATAAAAAATAATAAATAAATATGAACTACGCTGATGAATTTTTTGTTTACGAGGAGGTCCCGAATTTTTTATGCAAATACCGATTATACAGAAAAGCAAAATTTAGGTGTCGACAGGACCTTGTAAGATTACATTTGTTATTCATTGAGGGAATTAGATATCTAATGCTCTCAAGTCATTAATCTGATCAATAATTTTTCAATTGCTTTAAAAAAGAAATATTAACATAGTTTTTCAGAGTTATCTTTTTCATTTGGAAACAACCGTCTTTGAGTTTGTCTTCAAATGACATACTCCATCTATTAAACAGTCCAACAAGCTAGAATGAATCTTTGGCTGATTAAGCTAACCAAATTATCATGCATCAATGTGATATCAGCAAGCTTTTCTTTTTGACTGAATCTGGTAATAAAAGCAAGTTATTCGAAGCCTCTACCCTAGCCAACAAAGAAAAAATAAATAAACGAAAATCCACAGCTCCTTGGAAACCAATAGACGTAACATTGACATTGTACAGCTCTAGCACAGTTGTAATCTTCATAAAATAACCCTCCAATTGATATGTCCACATCCTAGATTTTGTTTATGTTAGCTGATAATGACAACAAGCATAGAATCTACACGAGGTGAAGGCAGAATTGCACGAATAGTTCTTGAAATAAAGCCCGAGATGACGATTGGTCCTAAGCTTTTTTCGATGTATAGTTAGCGCTTCTGCTTTTTTTCTAATGGCTTCATGGCATTGAAGGAAATCCATGCGTTCACTACGACTAGTAATTACTGTTGGGTTCATCAACGAAAACAACGCAGCGGAATATAGAACCCTAGACAGGATCCATGTGTATATTGAAATCGAAAAGGAATTTCGATACGTACATTTTGCAGATCGAAGATAAATCAGCAATTGATTGTGTCTGGATGAGCGCCCCAAGTGTTGCGCCTCTACCGGTATCCACACACACGAACGGAATTCTCCAACGATCCACGTGCTAGCGAAAGATCTTGAAGTTCCTTTTCTTGAACGCCTTTTGATTTTCGATACTCTATCGAAAAACCTTAAACAGAGAACGATTCTCTATCTATTTATACAGCCTCATTATCTAGCGGAATTAAAAGAAGTGGGCCGGGCTATTTGGGCCCGCCAAACCGTCCACCTTCAATTGTACGTTTAATCGTTATCTCATAACGCACACGACCGCATAGATAATTTAAATAGAAGAATAAATTAAAATCTACTTCTTAAGTAGATCAAGGTGCACAGACAATATTAAGTCCGTTCGCTATTGTGTGCGACCCTATAGGTTCACTAAACATTAGCAGTGTGCCCAAAACTCTTTTGGCCCACAAGTCATAAGCGGTCTCTAGCAAGACATTATGACTACCTAAGTATAGTGAAGATCGATTTTCCGACACAACCTAATCCACAACTAATATTAGAGTATCAACCTTGATTGATTCTTAGGGCAGACCACTAACAATTACCACTTAGACTCTAAAAAAAATCGATATTAGAATTAGAACTTATGATATTCTGAAAGATGGTAAGCATATGATCAATCAAATTCTCTTTTATATATTACTTAGCCTTGCATTTTTTAACTGGTATGAACTATGTAGCTAACTAATACCATCTCACATGATACTACGTAAATCTCTCTGTACAAACTCTGCGCAAACCTTCGCCTGGATAGTTTAGAATCTAGACATGCTTAGTGGATGCAAAAGAATTAATCCATTTGTCATGCGTCGAGCTAGAAGATCTTGAGGATTGTTGAAAGAAGAAATGGTGAGATGCTGCGGATGTCGAGTTTTGAAAAGGGTTTACAGTGAGAATTGCATGCTTGGCAGGTGCTTGAAATGGATAGAGACGCCGCCTGTCGCTCAAGCTTGTGCCACCCTCTTCGAGGCCGTGTTTTTTTGGCCGTACGCGTATCTTGTCCTCTATTAGAAACCTGCCCGAGAACCGAACATCGACTAAATTCAGTTTCTTCGTTCTTTAACTAGATTCCATAGCATACAAAATCAACTGTCTATACGAATCAAGAAAAACTTCATTGGAAAGTTTTTATGTTATAGCTGACATGATAAACTCAGTCAGTGGGTCAAAAACCGTATGCAAATTTCTTTTGTGCGGGAGTCCTTCTTGACTCCTCACGCCAGTGTGTCCTGCTGATTTCTTTCGACCTCTACTACTTGAAGCAGCAGGGAGGACCGGGAATCCGGTCGGAGGAGCGGTGGAGCTTTTTTGTTCACGGGGAACTGGCATGTGTTCCGGAAGGTAGTGGAGACTGGAGATGGTGCTTCCCAGCAACGCATTATGCCCAGAGCTGGAGTTGTCGAACGGGGTTTCCACGTCCCAATCGTGAGAGGCGTCGGAATCTCTCCTGGAACTACCGCTCAAGCAACAGAGTACAGAATATCTTACGCTTAAGGTCGGTTTTGTATACAAGGGATTGGCGTCTGGAGGACAGGCAAAATCAGGAGATGGAGATCTGGATCTTTGATTAAAGTCAGTTTTGCCTTAGATTGTGGCTAGCAGTCGTTCCAGTTCAAGTGCAGAAGTTCTTTACCACTTTCAGGAACAGACCGATCCACTAGAATCTCTCTGAGGTGTTCCTATATATACGTACACATGCTTAAAGCTCATTTTCACAGAGTATCGCTTATGTATACTCGAAATACTATGGACCAGTATTGTATTTTATAAGCTTCTTTCATTGCCCTTATTTTAAATGACAGTGATACAATCTTTCACTAAAGGAAAAACATTTCAATGTCCAGGATAGCCACTAGGGACAATTAACAATAGACTATTCCTGCAAATGCGACAGACAAATAAATTGAAAACACAAACATCATGTACCAAATCTTTCATGCATTTCACGCAAGACTCTTACATATTGAGATTTGAAAGCCTCCTCACCCCCCCCACAACTGTGCCCATACACCAGGTGATTGAAATTACAGGAAATGAGGAAAAGAAAGAAACAAAGGGCACAAAAAAGAGAAAAAAAAAATTAGAAACTTTGCAAGAGCCATCGAAATCCTCGGCTTGAACGGCTAGACCAAGCACATCAATGAAAAATTTCTAGCCCGTTGCATCAGCACAGATGAATCACATCCAGAATCATTAGAATCTACGAATACCAACATATCAGCGAGGACAACAATGGTAATTACAACAAACATTTGCAAGTAAATATATGGGAAGAGACCAGAATCTCCACGACCAAATGCCCATCAAATGATCCTTATATACAATGCTTTTTTTCCCTTTAAGGCGAAGGAGCATCTGGTATACACAGCTAATTAGTAAAGACGAATGCCGTCGTCAGTTACCTCCTGAGACAAAAAGAGACTGAATACAACATATCGACACTAGAATACTAACATAGGTTCCAGGGAGCATCAAATGAGAAGCCGAACTGCCTCCACCCGTAGTAAAAGAATCGGTAGGATGTACTTGTTAGATTGGTGAGCAGTCAAAAGAGTCAGTTCTACACACGTGTCGTCAGGCTACTGGAAATTGGTACACGATTAGATTGTAGTATATGTGTTCTCAAGCTACAGTCCTTTACCTGTTAAATATCAAGTACAAAACGGTCATATTGATTTCGGAGTAGAATCCCAAGAGGGAAGAGAGGAGAAATAGAGAGAACCAACATTACCTGCAGGGCTGCAAAGCTGGATAATAAATCTCGACACTGTTCGAGGGAAAACCGTTCCTTTGCCGCGGCGTCCACCAGTTCAGCTACCAAGGAGTTCATTTCCTCAACCTGTCAGATAAGATAGTTTTTAGTTGTCTTGCTGCAATAAACATGGTCAATCAAACAAATAGTAAAACAGCATGACATGATCACGTGAAAACACAACTAAGTTAAACTCGTGGTCCTTTTTAGCGGAAATAAAAGGTCACGAAAGGATAGCACCACAACCTGAAAGCAGATTTAAACATCGACGAGAGCAACCAGAACATATAAAAAGAAAGTGAATTTTTAATAACAAGGATCCAACTATCAACTGCTGGCCAATGTCACAAACAAATTCTACAGGGCATTGAGCATGCTACCGAGATTTGATATGATCAATGGAAGTAAACACAATAGTGAACGGTTAGAGAGAATATTAGTACAGCCACCTTACATTATGATGAAATTAAACCCCTACATTTGCAAAAATCTACACTGGCAAACTAAAGCCTCGAGTATTAACTTGAGGAGCTATAAATTCCTACCAGAATTACTTTCCCAAAACTATATTTGTATGGAAGAGCCATAAATGTCATAGAAGGTCAGAATAACTAAAGCCTTGAGTATTAACTTGGCACTATCCACTTTGTGAATAGTGCCAGGAGTAGAGAAAATGCCCTGAGCCAATGTTCAAGTATCAGGTGCTATGGTGTTGTAGTAAACCATGCCATACTCCTAGGAAAAGCCAAACGAACTTCGACAAAACGAAGACCCAAAAGTGGAGGTTGACTATCTTCTCTGACCACAAACAGGCTAGTGATAAAAGAAGGGAGAAAATGGGATCCTCGAGCTACTGAACATATAGCAAAATAGTACTGTCGCTAGGAAGCAATCCAGGCTGACTTTAGTGAAGCCAATCTTACAGACTAAACGAGATGGATCTCCACAATCAGATGCGCTGTGCTAGTTTATCTCAAATATCCTGCAATAATCGACTTCTCAAACTGATTCTGCGATGGAACCTCTTCACATCCGCAACAAATCCAACCAGAATCCCGAGTCAGAAATACAAACTACTCCATGCCAAAGCAGCACATGTCAAAACATCATGCTTTCTCCATTGCTCCTTATGCTATAGACTCCCCCAATAAAAGAAATTGAACAAACCCCAAGAAGTCTAATCACTCTCATTCCTTACCATACTAGAGCGCTCATCAAAATTTTGTCACTGTGATAGATTCCTCGATAAGTTTAGCAACAGAAGTCGACTGGACATTTTGAGTATATCTATCCTTTATTCCTGGGAAACATTCTTTAACTCGTCTGCCAGACAGCATCTTAAGGAGTCATTGAACGCCCCTGTGCCTCATATGCAACAGGAATGGCCTATTTAGACTTTGGACTGCATGACTCCAGGAAATGACACTGATGCACCCTTGTTATATACAAGATTGGCCACAAGAATGGCGTGAGGTGAGAACTAATCAATCAATTATCCGTAGACAAGCGATTCTCGATTTAATTGCCAGAATAGTATGCAGGCTCCTATGTTTGGTGATGAGGCTTAAGCTTTTTGATTCAAAGATGATGGTGCATGACCTAGCTCGTGAAGAAAGGTGGTGCGGAATATGAAAATTAATGACAATAGACCTCAATGAGAAGCCGCAACAAGTTCATATTACAAAAAGTAAGAGGCACTATCCAAAGTACAAGATCACAGAAGCAACAATAGATCAAGAAACTAATGTGGAGATAACTTTACCTTTGACGAGAGGGAATATATTGAGGATGCCATTCCCTGCATTACAGATATAGCTGATCCAATGACATCCTTCAGGTTCTGCATATCAGCCTGATATGAAGAAAATGTACGAAGTTGGTTAGGGAAGTCTTTGCAATGTGCATTTAACAAACTGCACACTTTGAAATAGTACCACGCGTGAAAAGTAAAATGCCTACTATTGCACTCCCAACAATTGGAAGACGAAGAGTGCTTGCTCTCAAAGCTTCAGTGGCCCCCAGCAAAGAACTTGAGTGATCTCTTTCTAGAAGAGACCATTCTTCCATGCAGGTCATCTGCATTCACCCCCAGAAGCTCAGTTTAATGAAAGAAAAATGCTGTAGGGCTGTTGAAAATGTGTCTTTGCATAATCATCACGTAAAGACATGCCACAAAAAATATCAAAAAAAGATGCCAAAGTTCATCAACACAAATAATGCATTACTCGGCCGTACTGAAAATGCAGCCATTCATAACTTTCAATGTTCTATAGTTAGGTAAATTTCTTCCCTCTCGATCTTAGAGATGACCATGAGAAGCAGCAGTTCTCAGAAATGAATACAAAACGTCAAGATTTCTCATCCAAATGACAGCAAAGAGAAAATTATGCACGAATATTGTGCACAATGACAGAAGCACCTAAAGAAGAGAATGCCCACATATTGGTAAAAGTGCTAACTGGTATGCAATTGTTCACTGGTGCTTTTCAAGAATGCTAACAAATTTAAGACATTAAACAGCCAAGCCCCAACTTCAATGGACACATGCAAACTAAAGCACCACTATATCACTGTCGAGTGCTAACAAATTTACAATGAATTTAGAATGGAGAAGTCAAAATGATCAGCCCCATTCAAATCACACTCAGAGACATTCATTATGATGTGACCGGTAGGTTATCCCCAGTAGAAGCCTCTAGTTTGGTCCTAACAAACAAGAACGTCCATGTTGTACCGATCGACGAGGCAACAGTGAGTTTCTCAGTAACAAGTAGGCTCATTTACAACACTCGTCTGGTGCTTGTAAAAAAAAACACAAACATGATAGTGCAGGATATATTGACACACAATTACTATTAGCTCGATCTTTATGCACTCCAATTTCAACTTCTTCTATTTTCAGGACAAGAACCTAAAAGAACGTTTTCTGAAGGGAAGAATAGCCAGTATCGACATATTTGCAGAAGCTTGCTAACCAAAACTAAGACTGAGGATTTAAGAGAGCCAAATGCAACCGACAAAAGATTGAACTGACCTGTCCCTTCAATATAGAAGTCAACTTGAGTCTTTGCTTTAGCAAGAGCAACTTCATCCTTTTGACAGTGACAGAGTGACGTAGTTCTGATATTGTTATCCACGCACCCCAGAGGTCTTTCTGGTATGACAGAGAAACATAAAATAAGACTCTGTCACAGTAATATTACATGCATCCAGAAGAATCTTGCAAGTAACCTCAGCCAGAGCCACCAGTAATGAAAATTTTTGTGTTAACTGTAAACCGACAAGATAAACATGAGAATAGGGCAAATGAAGAACTTGCATTGAACTTAAAGGAAGTGAAAGGAAGTTTGAGAATTCACATCCACAGTGATTAAGATGGACATGAATAAGGTAATTCTCCCACATTTGCCTGACTAAAAAATATTATCCAAACAAAAAGGTACCAAGAATGCCTCAAGCACAACATATCTTAACCCAAAAAGGAATGGCATTAACAATGAGGAAAGATGTTTGGTACATCTGGTTAAATACAATTTGGGAAACAGTTAGCTACCTCAGCATTTTGCCTCTGAATAATAAATGTAGCATCTGCCCTCGCATTTGCAAATCGCCATTGTAGGTAGCAGTTATGAAGAAGCCTCAACCTGTGTGCATCACCAATCCGGTCTTCCCCTATTTTCCCTCTCCGAATATCCACAGAAAAACTCAAAATCGAAGGCACACAACTACTGCTAGAGTTACTATTTAAGCCACCAGAACCCGGTCTAGCCCGAGATGGACTTTGCATCCCCCTCAATGGAGAGGAGACTGAAGAAGCCCAAAGCTTACTTGGCGAAGGAGGACGTGTGACTCCCCGTGTGGGAGAAGCCAAGTTTCTAGGAGACACAATTGGACTCTCATTACTAAACCGTTTCGATTGAACTAATTTACTTGGAGCAGACATTCTCGATCCTGGGCTCGGTGAAAAGGGCGACCCAGGATCTTGCAATCGCCTTAACCTGCTATTCGTTTCTTGCCAAAATTTTGCAGACACGGCAATTCCACGGGGCCCACTTTTCGGCTTCCCGCATTCTTGCACACCGGAAGTGCTACCGGAAGACACGCTATCTGTATCAGACGCAGTAAATTCAGAGTGCACAGAGGATTCGTTCACAGAACTAGTGTCTGGGTGAGCATTCTGAGAAACCGCATTTATCAGCTCACCATGACCCAAATCCAGGCTCAATCTCCCATCAAAAGAAACCCTCCTACAGTCATCAACTGATGATTGCCTCAAGAACTTACCTGCAAATTCAGATCCGAACACAGCAAACTTTTTCCCATCATCCATACTATCACTACCCCAATCCATGCTCCTAGACAACAAATTGACTTCCATACCCGGATTTGCTTGCCGGGTCCTCCCGGGCCACCGATGCTGATCTGAGACCTTGGGGTTCTCGACCCGATCTCTCACTGGCGTTGCCCTCTTCCTCTCTGGGGTTGCTTTTCTAGCGGGCGCAGAACCTGCATTCGCTTTTTCTTTACTTATCGGAAGGGAAAAGGCCTCGCCCTGAAAAGAAACGGACAAGCTTCGGGTCGAACTCCGCGTCGAAGTGACCAGAAGCTTGGCAGCAGCCGAGAGCTCGCCCGCATTGTGCTGCGGACCCGGCGTCACGGGACGGCCCGGACTGGGTCGCCGCCGGTCCGCCGACTGGGACCTCTTCGGGGCTGCACAAGGCAAAGGGGCCGTGTTCGTGGACCGAGAGATGAGCGGAGAACCGAATCGCCTGGAGCTAGAAGACGACGAAGTCGCCGTAGTCGCGGTGGTGGCCGTCGTCGTGGTGGTGGTGGAGGTGGATGTCGAAGGAGAGGGCGAGAGGTATCTGGAAGGGACGTGCTTTGCTCTGGGTCTTCGGGCATTGTGCTTCTCTGGAGCAGAATGCACAGTCCTCGGCGTGGTTGCTGCTGCTGCTGCTGCTGATGTCTGGGTCGAGGGTGGTTTGCTGATGCTCTCGGAAATGGAAGCCACCATTAGAGAATGCAAGCCTTGGAGAATCTCCCTCACATTGCTTTGCAGAAAAGGAAAAGGGGGTTTAACATCGTCCCCCCCACAAACCCCAGCACACTGTACACCCAGAATCTTGAGAAGAAGAAGAAGAAGTAAGCAAAGAACCCAGAAAGAAACTCCAAGAAATCAAGAAACTTGAAACGCGGGGAGCATGTAAAGACCAAGAAATCTTGCAAGGAATGAGGAAGAGAGAAGTAGGTGAAGAGAGGAGACTAGGGAGAGTGCTGAAGAGAGTGTGTCACACGGAGAAGAGAGAGAGAGAAAGAGAGACAGAGCTTTTTCTTGGGGAAACGGTGGGTTTTCTTGTGAGCCTTTTGGGGGCATTGGAGGGAGGCTGTATTGTTTAATTGGATTAATTAATTAATTGATTGATTAACCAGTTGATTATTTGACATTTGGGAGGGTTTCTTTTGGCCTAGTTTAGTGTTTGATTGGAGTGTTTTATCTGCAATACCGGTTAGCATATGCTTGTCAAATACCAAATATGAACACAATTTCGCAAATGGACTCGTGATGGACATAGCGCTTCAGAAGTTTCACAATCATTTCCATAATCACTCCTCTTGCGTCTTTCATTAGGCATCATCATCCATTAGCTCTTCATAACATGCACGGTGACGTCAAAGGGGGGTAATCGCCCATCTCTTGATCGCAAAATTGATAATATGCCCTGTGAAAATCAAGTTTTCATCACTTACCAACGCTCCTTAATGAAAAGTAATCAAGGATAACCAAAACAAAACCACCCCTTTTTTTTTGGCTTGGCAAAAGCAAAAACCATATGGACAAAAAAGAAAAACATCACACCGCCCGACCAACGTGTATGCATGGCTTAAGGAAATATATAGACGAATCACAATTGCCTCAAAAAAAGTATGAAACCTTGTCGAGTTGTAGAAGATAAGATTCAAGGCAATGCGTTCGTTAAGTTTTTTTAATGGAGCTAGAACATGACAACGGGTCAATGTCAATTGCTATATGTTTACCAAAACTAAACATTGCTCGAGCCTAAAAAAAGAGGTTTAAAGTTGGGACGTCCGCTGTCTAATGAATCCTATTGTCCAACAAACCTTAAATCTTCTCTTGATTTAAGACAATATGGAACTCCACTAGATTTGAAGCCCCGGAAAAGGAAAAAAAAAAAAGGGGGAGAGCCTAACTCCCACGAAAGGGGCCTAATTCCAAAAAAAACCCCAAACTTTACACTTTATCCCAATTATACCCTCAACTTTTTTTTGTCTCAAGAAAAACCTCAAACTTTTCTCCGAGTCCCAAATCTACCATACCGTTATAACTCTGTCCAATTAACGTCAGAAAAAAAAAAAAAAAAAACAAAACAAAACAGCAGTTGCGGCGTGGCCAAGCCTTCGCCGGTGGCCGCCGCCACAGCCGCGGGGAAGGACCCTCGCCCCAGATCGGGGGCTGCAGGCCCTCGCCGGCGACTCGCCCGGGGCCGGCGAGGGTCGCCGGCCTTCGGAAGGCCCAGCGAGGGCCGCCGCTCCTTCCCTGGCGTGGCGGCCACGGCGAAGGCTTGGCCACGCGCACTGCTATTCCTGTTTTTTTTTTTTTTTTTTCCGACGTTAATCGGACGGAAGAGACTGGACTCGGAGAAAAGTTTGAGGTTTTTCTTGAGACAAAAAAAAGTTCAGGGTATAATTGGGACAAAGTGTAAAGTTTGGGGTTTTTTTTGGAATTGGGCCCACGAAAGGAGCCTTGATGGAAAAATCTCAAAAGAAATGTGTGGCCATACCGGTCTTACAATATCTTCTTCCCAAATCGGTCCATCCCTCTAGATGCACTCTCGATTTAAGATCTGATGTCCCTTTCACTTATTTGTCAACTCACATGTTGCTTGTTCCCAACACCTTCAATCAATATAATTTATTTCCACTCAGAAGAAGGATGTTTTGAAGCCTCAACTCATCCTTTCGGTTCTCTTCAGCTTTGTATTCCCTCTTTTTATCTAGGAAAAACGACGTAAATGATCTCTAAATTTTAGTCAAATGTACAATGTAGTCCCTAAACTTTTTTAATTTTTACCTAATGTGTAATGTAATCCATGAACTTTCAATTTGTTCAATGTGGTCCATGAACTTTTGGTACATATTTAATTTAGTCCTTGAACTATATAAAAATGCTCGATGTTATCCTTTAATTAATTCAAGCTCGGGGATGACAATGAATATTTTTATATAGTTCGAGAACTAAACTGAATATGTACCTAAAATTTAGGGACCACACTGAACAAATTGATAGTTCATGGACCACATTGCACATTAGGCTAAAGTTCAAAAATCACATTAAACAAATTAAAAGTTTAAGGACCATATTACACATTTAGTCAAAGTTTAAAGACTATTTATATTATTATCCCTTTTATCTAAGTCGAGCGAAGGAGATTTAACGAGTTATGTGCTGCACCTCAAAAGGAGGAGGAGCTCAAAGACTTGGGGTTGAACATTCATGCTCTGTAATACTCTCTTTGAGTTCAGACTTGAGAGAGAGCAACATCGTTCTAGTAGTACAAGTCTAGCTCGGAGGGATCACTCCAAAGCCAAACACGGTCGACTGATTTTTTTGAGGTTCCGAAAGGAAAGTAGTGGAGAGCTGGCTTTCACGGGCGACAGCGAGTGGACACCTTTTCTCCACTTCACGAATACCATTAATCGCGTCCCTTCAGTAGATCAATCGAATAACCTATAAGAATAACCCGTTTCCACTTCTAAGATGGTCCCCAGTAGCGAAAGATTGCCCGAGTTTCCTCTCTATTCCTTTGGTTCAACAAGATAAAAAAGAAAAGCCGTGGTAATAAGAAATTGCATTAGATGTGCGGGTACGCGCTTTATAAAGGATGTGACACCTAATGGATTAAATACCCATTAGGTGCTCGAATATGACTCACTTGTTTAACCATTTAATTGCAATTTGCGAATCAGTGCAAGCATCTATAGCATTGCTCCTTCACTAATTTATCTTCTTGCTCTGATTGTTGAGAGTGCAATTCATAAGAGACTTCATGATCTTCGCACCGATCAAACGCATACTGCCAACTCCGCATGAGCAGCGATGCACCGTAAAGGGTTGCTTAGAAATGAAGTGTAGCGAGCTAAAACAGTCAAATCAAACAGCGGCAAAACAACACATCAAAACTAGTTAAAGACCCACCATAGTCTGCGCTGTTGCTTCCCTAAAAGTTCCGAAAAGCTCGCAGTGTGACAGGCTCTACGAGGAACGAGCAGGAAAAAGGAAAGAGGCATACAAAAGAGTGTTGAGCTGTGACCATCACGTGAAAGAAACATTAGGAATTTTCGAGCGACGTGCGACGAGGTGAAAGGTCTTACTTTAATCAGTTTAAAGAAAAGCAACAGACCGACCACCCACTATGCTATAGGCGTCTAGATAACATATACTACATGACCGGGCCAAGTGATTAATTTACGTGAGAGAAAATGACTTCCGCCCTGCTTTTGCTTCTCGCTTAAGCCCCACCAAACCAGCATACGAGATATAGTTTTGTTGCAAAGAATAGGGGGAGTCTAGAGGAACCAACATTGACACTGCCGTCCCACTTCGCGATGACGCAATCATACAAACAAGAAACCAAAGTATACATTCTAGCAACTCGAGTCGTAACAAAGCATAAGGGTAGAATCCCTACAGTGCTGTCCATATTTTGAAGTACCTCGACAATCCCTGCTCAATATGAATCTCTCGCTGATATGTCGAAAGATTCCATTGGCAATTCTTAGAAGCACCAAGAAGTAACATTGGAGGATCACAAGTTCAAGACAGGTGACTATCGTGAAAGAGCTCAACTTCTACTGCAGATAATTGTGTAGCATCGTCACAATCACAAAGGCAAAGTGAAAATACTGGGGGGGAGGGGAGTTTAGGGAGCAAGCACATGAAAAAGAAAATTTAGAGTTTTATGAACTCAAATAGATGATCCTTACATATTTCGAGTCCAAAGTTGGCTCCAATGACAATGACATCAAAACAAAATCATCTTAAAAATTATGGCAAACCTAGATCTCTAAGAGAGTGCTTGCACTGGGAAATCGCCAGGGGAAGAGTATTAGCTCTTTAGCGGTACTGCAAAACGAAACACGAATGAAAACCAAGTATTTATATAAAAAGTGCATGTGGTTAATTAGCAGTTAAAGTACACTTGTTAATAAAGTTGAAGTTTACCTTGATGAAGCCAATCTCCTTGGCATTGCTGCGGAAACACTGTCTGCAGCACATGAGTCCATACTTCCTAATCAAACCATGAGGATTCCCACACACGCGACTGCAAAATCACGACAAAAACAGATTCGAGTTCATTTGCTGTGAGCTGCACAAATGTCTATCGAGTAATCAACTACCGATAGTCAACCCAATAATCTTCAACACTTCAATCAAAGAATTGTAAGAAAACACAGTTCTATCGATAAAGAATACACATGTCGATTTAGCTGACAACATCTACCATCTTCAGCTGACAACTTCTGCATACAAATCCTAGCACTACTCGCACAAGTTAAGCACCCACTAGTTCCGACACATAAATCCATAGTGAACATTAGCTGTACGCGAAAGGTTACTACTATCCACACAATTACTCCAAGCAACCGATATCGCATCAGTATCAAGAGAAACTAGAACACGCTGTCTACTGGTCGAAACAACAAGCATCTGTTCGACATCTGAGGGCCCGCCACAGCGTGCCAGTGATCACAGAGCACCGCAAACACCTAATTAGGAAATTTAACAGCTCAATGTCCAATCTACTCAATACGAATGCATTGTTTCCATTCAATCAGACAAATACCGTCAGCTCGTCCCCCGCCACAAACACGGCCAGCGCATAAAACAAGAGAGACCCTTCATTCCACAGTTTCCAGAACATTACTAAGAAAGCCTCCGTTCAAGATATCAACTCAATCGTTGAACAAGGCTCATGAAAGATGAAACAACAGAATCCCCCAACACCCATCATCAAAACACGCCCAATACCAGCATCCAACAGGGTCATAGTACCAAACAAGAACGGGACACATGCGCATTATAGGCTGTCAATAGCAAAGCAAATCCAAATCCAAACTCGAACCCTCCCGCACCAACTCATCCGAGCAAAAATCAAATCGATTCCAAACCAATCACGACAAAAACGATCGTCGCATTGAAGGAACGAGCATGAAGCAGCGGCTTTTCGGATTAAGCTTTCGAAATCGAGAGAACAGAGAGGAAGGCGGGGGCTACCATGCGCGAGAACCGGGGCCGTAGCTCTTGGGGTGAGAGTTCCAGACGTTGGAGTGACCCATTGCTGCTGCTTCTCCTTCTTCTTCGAGAACTCAGCGATCGCCGACACCAGAGATCGCACGAGCTGAAGCAGGGATCGCAGAGGAGTGAGGGAAGGAGGCGACGCTCGTCTATATATACGGGCAGCCGGTCAAAAACCCTAGTTGACCTGCATTCTTGGCGGTGTTTTCTTTGGTTTCTTTTTTAATTTTTTCTTTTCAAAGGAAAAACACTTGTAAATATTGCAAGTGAATTAATTTTAGGGAAAATTTCAAATCAGTACCCAAAGTGGGCCCAATTCCAAAAAAAACCTTCAACTTTACACTTTGTCCCAAATATACCCTAAACTTTTTTTTGTCTCAAGAAAAACCACCAACTTTTATCTAAGTCTCAAATCTGCCCTCCCGTTAAAAATCCGTCCAATTAACGTCAAGAAAAAAAAAAAAAAAAAACAGAGAAGCCAGGCGAGTGCGGCGGTGGCCAAGCCTTCGCCGGTGGCCGCGCCACGGCCGCCCGGGAAGGAGCGGCGGCCCTCGCACAGGCCTTCAGAGGCGGCGACCCTCGCAGGCCCTCGGCGAGGGTCGCCGGCCTTCGGGAAGGCCCAGGCGAGGGCCGTCGCTCCTTCCCGGCGGCTATGGCGGCGGCCACCGGCGAAGGCTTGGCCACCGCCGCAGCTACCGGTTCTCTGTTTTTTTTTTTTTTTTTTTTTCTGACGTTAATTGGACGGATTTTTAACGGGAGGGCAGATTTGGGACTTAGATAAAAGTTGGTGGTTTTTCTTGAGACAAAAAAAAGTTCAGGGTATATTTGGGACAAAGTGTAAAGTTGAGGGTTTTTTTTGGAATTGGGCCCCCAAAGTGGGGTCATTTTCTCAAAAGTGGTCCAAAATGGACATAGTGCCAGATAAGAGCATGAAATGCCCAATCAGTCTCAAATAGAGATCCAAAGTGCCCAATTAGTCTCAAGTAAGGGCCTGAGTTCGTCGGCCGATCAAATGCTCACCAGCTGGCAAACACGTCACTGTTCCGGTGATCGGAACAAGGGCAATTTCATCTTTTACTTTTTTTAAAAAAAAATCTTTTTTTCTTTTTCTTTTCCTTTTCCTTTTCTTCTTCTTTTTTTTTTTTTTCCTCTTTTCCCTCCGCCCAAGGCCGGCAACCTTCGCTAGCCCCAGCTATGGCCGGCGGAGGGAAAAGAGGAAAAAAAAAACGAAGAAGAAAAGGAAAAGGAAAAGGAAAAGAAAAAAACAAAAAAAGAAATAAAAAATTTAAAAAAGTTAAAGACGAAATTACCCTTGTTCCGATCGCCGGAACAGTGACGTGCTTGCCAGCCGGCGAACTCAGACCCTTACTTGAGACTAATTGGACATTTCGAGCTCCTATTTGAGACTGATTGGACACTTCATGTCTTTATTTGGCACTATATCCATTTTGGACTCTTTTTTGAGAAAATGACCCCACTTTGGGTACTGATTTGAAATTTTCCCTTAATTTTATTTTTTATTTGACCAAAAAAATTAATTTTCTTTTTAATTTTCTTTGACCAAAAAAATTAGTTTTCTTTTTGGGCCATCGTGCGAGTAAATTTGACTAATCATACTCTGGTGAGACTCTTTAGATTTTTATGACATTGAATTTATCATTTGAAGACTTTTACCTAATAAAAACTTCTTTCGTCCCTGTCCTTTTGCTATATTTCATATTATTAGTTTGAAATTATGGTGTTTTGTATGAAGCCCTTGAACTGATCTATATGTTTTTTCATTTAATTGATTAATTTATCGAGAAACTTATATAGGAAAGCATCTCCCGTTTGGTGGGTTTAATTTATTTTTCCCACTTGAAAAGTAAAATACAAATTTTCAGAAATTAATTGTACGGGATAAATGAATCTAACCTTTTTGCTTGAGTCCGACCCGATTTAGCTCTCCTATTTGAGCACACATAGATACTGATTAAATCATCGTAATTTATGTTCACCTATCATTATATTGTGTTTTTATCATGCAATCAAAGCCCTTTTTTTCCGCACAAGCGAGGTGCATCAAATCAAAATAGAAATTTTTTAAAGTAAAGAACATGACAGGATAACTAGTACTCACCACTATTTATGACAAATACGATCACAGGAATTGAAAAATATCAAGAAATTAGGAGTAACGTCAACTATAAGGACGTCGTGCACATGAAATATGCATACTTCGCCGAAAGTGAGTGCATATTATCATTTCTCGATATAAATAATGACCTGTAATGTCAATGAACACAATGCGGAGACAGAGTAGATTTGAAGATCGATAGTGGGAACTTAATAACATTAAACATATTATTTTCTTTTGCATCAATAGGCCTTGTGTTTCGACAAAAAAAAAATAGACCTTGTGATATTCTGCCCATCTGCGCTCAATCAACGATACCGGTAGAAGATACAACGAGAACAAGCCCAAAGTAACATTTCTACTTAATCGGACCAGTGAGCTTAAAAGTAAATAAAAGTGCACTTTATTCGAGATGGAAAAATAGAATCAAAAAACGAAATTTTAAGAGAGAAAAACGAAATTCTTAATTGTTTATTGAGAAAATTCTAAATAAGGACTTGAAATAGATCTTGTGTCAAATAAAGACTTAAAGTAACAATATCAGCCTCAAATAAGGATCTAAAGTGGCAAGGTCAATTTTAAATAAGGGCTTGATCTTGTCGGTTGCCGGCCGGTTAAATATTTCGTCCAATCAAGGGCATTTTCATCCAAATATAATTTTAATTTATTTTTAAAATTTTCTTTTCTTTTTCTTTCCAACGAGGGCTAGCCCTTGCCTATGGCTTTCGCGGGCGGCCTCGCCCCTCACCTGCTGCTAACGAGGCAAACCTCACCTTAATCTGGCGAGGGCTGGCCTCGCTTATGATCGGTGAGGGCGGCCTCTCCCAACCCTCTCCAGCCACCGACGAAGAAGAAAGAAATAAACCAGTAAAAGGAAAAAGAAAGTAAAATAGGAAGAAAAGAAAGAAAAAAGAAAAAGTGAAAAAATTCAAAAAAAAATAAAGGAAGAAAATGCCTCCAACCATCTGGAAAGTCTAGCCCTTTTTCTGAAATCGACATAGCCACTTCAGGTCTTTTTTTAAAACAATATCTACTTCAGGCTTTTTTTTATAGAAAATGATGACACTTTATGTCTTTATTTGAGGAATGATGGTACTTTAGGCTCTTATTTAGAATTTTTATTTGTTTATTTACAGGCTAAAATTTTTAGCGATTACTTGCTCGAGAAATGGTTTGGAACAAATTTTCTTTTTTCTATATCTTCATTCTCTTTTTCCGATCTTAATTTTCCAAAAAAGATTAACGAAAAAAAGGAGGAGGAGGAGGAGGAGGAAATAAAAAAGAGAGGGACAGCCGCAGGCGCAGACACAACACCCGGTCCCTCGCGAACCCCTCGAAATAGCGCACGTGTGCTCTCTTGCTTTCGTTCCCCCCCACCCCCTTCCCCACCCAGAGCAAGAATCGTCCAAGACTTCGAGCGACGACGCACTTCCCCGAGACCCTCAACAAAGACAACCATCCTCGTTCGATCGAATCCGGTGTCTGTCCCCGGCCACGACCCAACACCAGCAGCACGAACCCAAACGAAGGCCACGCAGCAATTGACCCGCGATCTCCCGTCGCCGTCGCCGTCGCCGTCGCAATCCATCCATCCATCAATCGACCCACCGACCCCAAGTCCGCGGATTCCGCGGTCGAATCGAAAATTCGCGACCTTTGTCGCGTTCTCAGGTGCGTCTCCCCAATCGGGAAAAAAAGGGTTTTCGTTTCTTGCTGGAAATGGGATTTCCCCAATTGGGCTTTTGCTTGCTCTTTCGAAATGTCTTTCCTTCCGGGAATCGATCGTTGCCCTTGACTTCGTGGGTGGGTGGGTCGGTCTTCTGATTCTTGAGTAGAGAGCGCAACTCCGAGTTTCCCATTTCTTGATGCCCAGTTTGGGCTGCGCTTGTTTAGCTTCTCCGTGTGAAGCTTTCGAGTTAGCTTATGCGATGCGTGATCGCTAGATTCTTGATTCGGGTTTTTGCCCTCAATGTGTGTGATTCTGATGCAAGTTCGTTGCTGCTGTGTAGGTGATTCGTGGGGACGGAATTTTTGACCGGGGATTAGGGTTTTGGTTGAGATCTGGGATGGTTCGTTCGAGCGTGAGGATTGAGCTGGAAAAAGTCTGAATTTTGACTCTTGAGCTTGTATTGGAGATTGAGGGACAAATGGGGCACAGCAAGCAGTGCGGCCGGGTCGATACATTAGAGTTGAAGGCGTTGATCGTCCGTCGAATCGGGCATCAGCGAGCAGAGAAGTACTTTGATCAGCTGAAAAAGCTGTTCGCTTCCTCGATTAGCAAGTCCGAGTTTAGTAGGCTGTGTACGCAGACGATTGGGAGGGAAACAATCCCGCTTCACAATCAACTCATCAGGTCAATCCTCAAGAATGCCTGCCTTGCGCAATCTCCGCCCTGTGGAAATGATAGAGCTAATCTCAGCATCGATCCCGTGAAAGGCCACCAGAAGGGTGGTCTCCAGTCGTTACATGGTTTTGCATTTCCTCCTTCACCTCGCAAGATAAGGTCTCTAGGCAATCGCAGTTGCAAATTCAAGGACCGCCCAAGCCCTCTTGGGCCGTTAGGGAAGCCTCAAACTGTTGCATCTGAGGCATTGGTTCATAAAACACTAGAACAACAGAGTCCGACTGAGTTACAGTCTCTTGGTAGTAAACCTCCGGCAGAAATTGCATCAGTGGAAGATGGTGAAGAGGTCGAGCAGTTGGCTGGAAGTCCGGGCGTTCAAAGCAGGAGCCCAGTTACCGAGCCTCTTGGTATCTCTGTAAATTTTGGTGGAACAGGTAAATCTATTTTCAACACATCTCCGTATGGTAGGTACAATGCCGAGACCTGCCTAAACAGAAGCGAGCTACCCGATACGAGTTCCTTGAGAAGCATCATGGAGCGCAAGTTGGAGATGGAGGGCATCAAGGTCTCGGTGAACTGTGCGAACCTCTTGAATAATGCGGTAGACGCGTATTTGAAAAGGTTGATTGGGCCTTGTATGAGTCTAGCTGGGTCTAAGCATGGATATCAGCATTCTGGAAGATGGGATGATCGTATTGTAAATTGTAGAAGTGGGATGGGACCTGGGAGAAGCGTGCAGAGTCCAGTGAAATCTGTTTGTGCGTCGGTGTTGGATTTACGTTCTGCAATGGAGTTGAACCCTGAAATACTTGGAGAAAATTGGTCTGTCCAGCTAGAGAAAATTTGTTCACGTGCTTTCAGTGGGTGAATACAGATCATGGTCGTCAGAAGTCCATCAGCAAGAGAGACTGGTATATATGAGCTGAGAATTTTGTTAAGCGATGGTGGAGCTTGTTGAGTTTATTCTTCCTTTGAGGTTTTGGTAGAAAGTTTTGGTTTGGCATTGAGTCTACTGGCTTTGACGAATGGAGTAACTGATTAGTTCCAGATGCTGCGGAGATCATACTAGCTCTGGTCTTCTAATTCCTTATCTTTTTTACTTTTTCTTTTTTTTTTCCTTCTAGTCGTCGAAAGCAGGGCATTGTTGTTAATTTATAACCAAATAGAAAATGTAAATATTTGGGCACAATCAGGATAGTGAGGAAATGAGCAACATCGGTGTGTTTTGTATTTGTTTAAGGTTCTTCCCCTTTCCTTGTACCTCAATTGATATACCAGTTGAACATTATACAGCAGAGAATCTATGTAGTTCAGACCGGCACGGTTGCAATTGGTGTAATCGATCTCTCTTCCCCCGCTAGTGAAAATTTTGTTCCTCAAGATTAGACTGTATCGTTCTTATTCTGTCCTAGTTCCGTCTCTCCGAATGGCGTGCGCTGTCACTTGACCTATTTGTAAGCGTGCCTAACACGATTCCTTTCACTGGGAGGAATGACAATCTTCTGGATCCGTAATCAGAATCATTGTTTCTTTTATGTTTACGAATTGAAAATAGGTTGTCCCAATGAAGCATTAGACGGAACACATCCCGTGATTTCGTCGATGTGGAGAGCGATGTCGATGTGGCGAGAAAAAGAGATTATGAATATTCGCAGAGCAAGAGCAATATGCTGATGAATTCAATCTTATTGAAAAATTCCAGAATTACACAATTCAATGCAGATAATGCTCATTAAAATTGGCAGCAATGGGCCAACACTCCCGTCACTCAGAGAAAGACCAACATTGTATTTGCCATTGCAGTACCAGATCGCTCGCAGCATTTTCAAAAGCGATTCTAATGCTAGGCATCGCTATTTGTTACAGGAGATTCTGATCAATGATCATAAAAGAAAACTGATAAAATATAGGATGTCAACGTGCTCTGAAATAGCTCGTTTACTTGTAGGTGGGTAAGTTTTTCCAACAATATGCGCCAAGAAAAATGAGGAATGGAACTACACTAGCCAGAGCAAATTTTCAGGAAAAAAATGCCCTAACAACTTCATTGAGTAGTGCTTTACAATAACCTGTGATGCTAAACTGCTCTAATTACATCTCATGCAAGTAATTGAATTTTATGATGAAAAAGTCTGATATAAATGGGGTTGTTCCTTAAACTAGAAGAATAATCAGGGTGGTTCCTTTTCTCTTGAACCGTATGCTCTCTGCTCTAAAGAAGATCCCATTGTTGCTTCAGTAAGTCGTAAAAACTGCACAGGACAAGATTTCATCTACTGTGAGTAGCAACCTGCTGATGGCTGTAACAAGAAGTAAAATCCAGAGCCTATTGTGGAGGAGAAATGGCAGCTTCTGTAGTTAGCTTAGCAGTTGAATCCACTTTCTGTAAACTAGCCATGTAAGTCAGATATATGGTCCAAATATATGAGAACGAGTTGCTCACGAGAGGCTGCATGAAACAAAACAGCAAAAAAAAGAATTATTTCATTGGAAGATCAAGAATTGAGTATTCGGGAAATGGTGACTCAATCGAAATTTTAAAGTGAAAGGAGAATTATAAGACAGTGCAGAAGAAACGTCATACCTGTAAATGAACAGGGGTAAATCTTAACGTGATGAAATCACATAAGGGCCAGTACATAGCTCCATTAACCAATGTTGGAATCAAGTCCCGCTTCAATCGAGCAACAATCTGTGTCCCATTCTCACCTGAGTATGGGAATCATGGAAATGTCTTAGATATCAATGCAGCACAATTATCTTAAGCACAATTTGAAACTTGCAATAACTTTTTGCAGAAGAAAAGTTCTGTCTACAGTTTAGAATTTTAAGTACAGTTCAAGAGAAGAAGCTGCAAAGGAAAAGCCTTTTTTTTTCCCATCCGGCTGAGTAATACGACTTGAACCACCGATCAATTCAAATTTGGTATTGTAAGTAAAATCCTTTGAGAGAGCTGTCCAATACAAGTCAAGCAGAAGAAAGGAAAACCAACGTTCGGAAATTTCTATTTTTTCAAGTGCTTGCTAAGATGTTTTTAAGAACCTGCGGGTAACGAAACATTGCCATTCAACCCACTTTCCATTGGTTCTCTAGCTCTAAGATTTTGAAGTACTTTGGAATCACTACCGATCAAGCACATTCTCTTATCTCAACAATTTGTTGTTTCCTAAAGTCTATTGGACTAGAAGCAGAGGGAAAGCAGATGCACAGTCATTTTTACAGTTAACTACTCACTTGCCTACCCCTAGCCAGATTTATATGCATTCTGTTTCTCGTTCCCAGTCCATGTTTGCAACATTTGCAGATCTACCATACTTATTGCTGACAGAAAAAAACTTGAGAATGCCTATAATGAGACAGTGCCGTGGCTCATCTAATCTCGTCAATTTACTCGCCACCTCCTCCTCCTCCTCCACTCGTTTCTTATTAATCAGGACAGACTCTTTCAAAACGTCGAAACATAGAAGGCTTCACAAAAAATCACGAACTTTCAACTTATTATCATCATATGGTGTATCTTGTTATAAATTATGTGCTCCAAAGTAGAAAAGGCTGATAAAACTTTCACCAGCAATTCAACAACACAAACGGTTTGCAAAAGAGGCGAGTTTATGATCAATTCCAAATAGCATATATAAGTCATTAACAACATAATTACCATGATAACCATCTTTTGGCTGATAAGAGATATTGAAGTACTAGATAAACTTCTAGTGGAAGATGTTCAGTACCTTGTAGACCGGCATTCACGCAAAAGAAAACCACGGTCATAGCGGGTCCGTAAAGTGTCTCCCCCATGACCATTTTCTTCAACGTGGACGCAAGATCCTGCTTCGGAAAAAATCTCGACATGCAATTGAACCAAAAATGCAGCGATGGCCCTACAAACAACAGACCATATCCCGCCATCCGTAATGTCCTCACAAGATCATAAGATTCTGAAGATGGATTCGCAATCGTCTGAAGACAAGAATACTCGTTAAGAAAAATAAGCAACAGAATGCAAGATCGGACAGGATATAAACAACTGTAAAGAATGGTCTTTCTTTCTCTTTTCTTTGGCTCTTTTTTTTTTGCTCATAAATTATTGCTTATTTCATCTAAGCGGAGGACATCTTGCAAGCAACAAAAGCGAACTATCAAAATTAAAATTAACCACCTCAATGAACAGGCGAACAAGCAATCAAAATGAGAACTCAGCATAATACTAACACGACAAGACACAAATACAGAGAAGCACAAACAGCATTTTCAAGCTCTGCCGAGAATCCAACACATTCGCAAGGGCGTACAGAAACAACACACCTGAGAGGACAAATCAGCAGCCGTGTAGATAAGACCGCAGGTGACGCTCTTCGTGAAAATGGGTCGAGACTTGACCACACCCAGATACCAACCCAAGAACCCGACCCGAGAAGAAGCGGCCGACGACGACGACGACGAGAAAGAAGCCGGGGAGGGATGATACTCCCTCACCTTCCTCGGGAAACGTTGGGGACGGAAGTAGGCTCTGGCCGACGACGCCGGGTTCTCGGGGAAACGGCGGGCTCTCGGGACCGAATACCCTTTGGCCACGAAATGCGCGATCTTCTGCTTGCGGAGGACCGAGAAGATGCCGGGGTTGTTCCTCCGGAGGAGACCGGCCATTTTTCGCTTCTGGGTATCGATCTTTCTTGGAGATGATGGTGATGATGAATGAACTTCGAGGGATCAAGAAGAGGAAAGGCCTCAACTTTGCGGGTGGACGAGGCTTGTTTGGGGTTCAAGAAACTGCGACTGCGTTTGGGGTTCTCTCAAGGGTTTCTCTGGTGGTGTAGGGGGCACGCCGAGGGAGGGAAGGGAAGGTGGAGTTGTAGCCAAATATATAGGGAAGGCAAGAAACGCGAGCGCTTGAAAAATTGGATCTTTCTCCTTTTCTTGGATTCATAAAGAAGGTGGTGGTGGTGGTGGCCACTGTTCACTTCTGTGTTACTCGCTCGAATATGGAATGGTTTTATACTCTCTCTCTCGTTCGTTTTGTTCTAAGACGTTTTTTCACAATATGAACTTTCAAAAAGATAGAGGTAAAAACAAAATTAAGAATCTCATCCTAAAAATGATCTCTGCATTAGAAACTTAAAAATTAAAAGCCGTGTATCAATGTATTGTGCAACTTTTCTACAAAGGCAAATTATTGGCGAAAGGATTATTGGAATTTCGTTTCGCAACAATATAAAAATGCCGGAATGGAAATTTTAATAAATTTCGACAAAAAAAAATTATCATATATCACGGAGACCGGTATTCGCCATAGAAGTTATTACGGCATGGTTTTTGATAGTTTTCTCCGGCCGCAAATGCCTTATTTATAATCTTACTCCAATTTTATGAATATGAATATTGAGGTATAAAATGGATGCGCTTCCTAGATTTTTTTTATACACCCGATTTATTAGAATTCGAAGGCGCGTTACGTAAATCATGATCAACATATAAACCGAGTTTATCAATTTACCGACCGTATAAGAATACATTAACAAATGATCAAAAATCAAAAGCCACGTGCATTTTAAGAGTTTGACCTAGACCCCTCTCCCTTCTAAATGAAGGGTGCCGGCCGAGGCGGGTACCCACATTATGTACGCGCGCGAGTGGTGCTGACATCGGAGGGTCCAAGACGCAAAGGGAATTACAAACAAGAACCCTTTCCGGGAGTTTAGGTGAGCCATCCCTTTCTCGACACGAGTCCCAATGCAGCCACTATCCCACCGCCACGTGTCCCCAGTTCCCCAGCACGTCGGACTCCCAGGCTCGTGACGACGGCTCATCGCTTTTCCTTGCAGTGTCGCCCCCCCTGATTTTTGTACTAATATCGTCCACGCCCCACAACCGATTCAAATTGTCACAATTTCAGCCCATCTTCTTCTGCTTCTTCTTCTCACTATCCTCTTATTCATTGAATAACGAATATCAGACCGGCGTTTCAAATTTTTTCCCCTCAGAGTGCTAGGCAAAAGAGCAAGGAGGAGAGCTTCAGTTAAGCACTAGCGCTCATCGAGAAGATTTTTTTTTTCTCATAACAATGAGCATTCTTGTTCTTATTTTAGTCAAAATTTGTCCTTAAAATGGAAAAATGAAAGTTCCCGCATAGAGTTTTGCCAGAGTACAACTTTCTCTCGACATTTGAAAAGAGTAGCACTTTGAGATTCCATGGACATTTTGGTTTTGGGAGATTTTTGTCGACATTTAGTACCATTTCACCGAAATCTATGATTAGATCAGAGAGAGTTCTTGCTCTTAGTGTTGTTACTGCAGCTAGATGAAAGGATTGCTGTGCTTACCCAACATACTGCGCCGTGCGTAGTGTTAGCATTCGCGCACGCACGCAGCCTGAATGTCGCAAATACATTACCGAGCGCTATACTTTTATTCTGCTAACTTGCAGGTACGTTCCGACTATTAACACACCAATCATAATGTTGCTGTGTATGTCTCTGAGATCGACCGAGTTTGAATTGCCACCATGACCAGCTTATATTTTAGAGTCCTAGATGTGATATGCAAGCAAGTCAGCCTTCATCAGCATCCAAAGTCATACGGCACCAGTCCTTTCAGCTCTGGTCCACTGAGCCGGTTGTTCTCGAAGCTGAAATGAAGATGCGAGCTCATCAGCGCATTAAATCACGGAAACGGAGTCATATATGACAACGCTAGTATGCAAGTTAGCAACAAAGTCGAGAAGGAGCAATCCATCACAGATGAATTCGTCATCTTGCAGCTATCATGATAATATCCTAACCAGTAGGGGGAATACTAAGGTTGACAATGATATCATGGGAATGCTTGAGATTTATCATGAAAATCAAACAACAATCCCAGTCAAGAATTCACTGGATCGAGCTTCTCTCAGCTTGCAGCTTTCACTCCTTTTGTCTTTTCATTGACAAAGTAAAGACTAACCAAGCAAAGCACTTGAAACAACCAAATATGGTAATTTCCCTCTTTCTAGGAAAACAAAGGGGCCTTCTTCGTGATTATCTTTGTGCTATAAATTTGTCACGAGAAACTAAACTGAGCAAGCAGATCATGCATTCTGCTATAAAGAACCACTTCACTGTGCAACAAGCTTCTGACCAAAAAAAAAAGAAGAAAAAAACACGATCGCAACAAGCTACAAGTTCAAATATGTCTGATTAATTGATGCTGAATAAGATTGTCAATTAACCGACTAATCTACTTCAAGATCCACAGGAAAATATGCCATTCATAAATACATGCTAGTACTGAGGAAGACCAGAGCAAACGCAGCTAAAGTTCTATTTTTTCCCGCCCAGTCAGGAAATTAATATGCCCTGTCATGTATAAGATAAATGAAAAGAATTAAAGTCACCACACCTTTCCATTGGGAAACTGGCGAATGGACCATCCACGGGAATCGTTCCACAGAGAGCGTTGTTAGAAACATCACTGCAAGAGGCGAGAGAATTAAGGAGAAACTCTAAATAGACACAACATCAGAACTTCAGCATCACAATGGTAAGTTGATATCATTTCTACTTACAGGACTTTGAGGTTTGAGAGGGTGGTGAGTTCCTTCGGTATTGGTCCCGTGAGCTTATTGTTGTTGAGACGGCTGAACCACAAACATGGAAGTCAAATATCAAGGATTTGCTCGATGTTGAAATTCAAGACACACGAAAGCATCAGGTAATGAAGATAAAGAAGCTCACAGAAATCTAAGTGACTTCAGCTTAGCAAAGGCCTTTGGTATTTGTCCTTCTAATTTGTTGCCATATAGATCCATGCTGACCAGTTTTTTCAAATTGCCCAACTCCTTTGGAATTTTCCCCACCAGACCATTCATGTAAAGCTCCCTGCACCATATTCCCATAAAGCACACGCATTTACTATATAAACATTACAAAAAAAGAAAAGGAAAGTGCTTCCATTCATTCAGAATCCATAAATCTTGCACAAGATCACACAAGCTCATCAAACATAACACAAAGCACATTGAGATGAAAAGTGAGGAAATGACTTGAGAGAGGGTTTACATACAAGTATCGCAGATGCTTGAGCTGGCCGAGCTCTGGCCCTAAAGTCCCAGAGACATTAGAATTACCCAAATCCCTGATGGTAATTCAGAACAATTATCAATTTGTAGAATTCACAATCAAAGCAGGGGATCACAAGAAAAGAAAATACAAGAGCAGCAAAAGGAAACTGAACTGGAAAGACTTACAATCTAATTACATGATTGTTGGTGTCACAAGTGACATGGAACCAAGTGCAGGGATTGACCAGGGTCGGGTCCCAGCTCTGAAGCATGTTGTTCGGATCTGAGAGCCTGGTTCTCAAAGCATGCAAAGCATTTCCTTCAAGAAAGAAACAGCGAGACCCAGGATCAGAATTTCATTTGAGATTGCAATTAAGCTACGGGAGAGATCCCAAGGTGCTTCCTTTTTGAAGTATCAACAGAAAGAGAGGCACCAGAGCGACTGGAAATTCATCAGATTGCAAATTTGAGAGCGAAGGCATGATGGCGAGCGAGGGGAATGCGTACCTTCCGAGTTGGTTGAGAGTGCTGGGCTCAGAGACAGGAAGATGGGAAGGAGTAAACAGGAGAGAGAGAACAGACCCATTTTGCAGAGACAGAGAGCGAAAGAATACTGAAACCTTGAAGCAAAACAAGAACGGGTGTGCGTGAGAGAGCGCAAAGGATGCTTCTGCCGTGTGCGAGGAGGGAGGAGAGAGAGAGTGCGTCTAATATGGGGGTCAACAAGACTGTAGAAAAGCTTGGAAATCAGAGTTTGACAGATCAAACTGAAGACTTTCGGAATTGTTATTTGTGGGTTCTTGGTGGCTATAGAAGACTGAAGACTTTTCAGAGGACGTAAAGGTTGGTGGCACTGGCAGTGTGGCAGGCAGAGGCACGCATTTGTCGTGAGCTTTACTCCCCCAAAAAAGCATTTTGAAGGTTGACTCTGACCCGCGTCCATATATGGCGGCTCAACAAAATTCTGTGTTTCTATAATTTATCCGACGATCGAATAAAAAAAGCGTTGATCTATAATCTTTAAATTTGCTCTATGAATTACGAAAAATCGTAAGGAGATACTATCCGAAAAGCCAACTTTTATAGGATTATAGATCTGTCCCTCTCTGCTTTGGCCGTGTTCATCTATCCCAAAAATACAACTTTTGTCTCGGCTTGCTAATTAAATATAACATCTTAAGGGAATAATTCTGTAATTTCAAAAATTATGCAGAAGCATTTAGATAATTTTCTGATCAGACAGAGGGAGCTCAAAAGCCAAGAGTGATATGGATATGTATCGGTGCTGTCAGAGGTCTGGGAATTGCCACGATCATTGGACAATTGGAATGGTCCTCAAACATTAACTGTCAAACGAACTCATGTCAACAGTCGACTGTACATAGAAATCACACAACAATGCTGCTAACACATTCTGTGTACAAGATACGCTTGAAATTTGAATCTTTTCCTAGCTCTGTCTTTACATTTACAGCTAGAAAAATCCCTCTGAAATGGTTGAATTGGACGTAGGTTATAACTCCTGCAGAGCCCTATTTCTTTCCTCCTCTTCAGCCTTAATCCACGCTGCCTACAGAGAGAAACAGACATTAAAGAATGATAGAGATCATATCTCTGGAAATTCAAAAGATCAATAACTTGCCTTTTCTCGTTCGAGTTTCGAGAGATGCGGTTTCATCGAATTCCCTAAACTTAGACCTCCCCATGCTTCATGGAGCTCCCTTTCTTTTGCTTCTCTACGGGCTACATAGACATTATTCTGTTCTTGTTGCGGCGTAGCAGCAGCAATCTTCTCCCTCTCTAGCCTTGATCTATGTTTAACCAAGATCTGGTGCAGACCACCCTCGGCATTCACTGGCAAGGGTGCATTGCTTCTCGTTTTTACGGAGAACCCTTCTTCTGACTTTGCCCTCATCTTCTCCTTCTCTAGTCTCGAGACATGTTTCACCAAAACTTTGTCCAAACTCCCACAATCATCAAAATTATGTCCATGCTGTTTATTTTGGTGCTTCTGATACTCATATGTGCTTCTCGAGGATAATGCTTGTAATTTTTCTCTCTCCAATCTGTGTAGTGGCTTGACTAGGATCTTGTCTAGACTTTCTTCTGCCTCTTCTCTTGCAATATTGCTCACATCCAAATTTTCTTTCCCAATAATTTCACAATGTGTGACTGAATTTACATCAACTTCTTCTGATTCTTTCTCTGAACTAGTCATTTCACATCCTTCTACTGAGCAATTCTTCCTCCTATTCTTCGCTTCTTCAACTTCCCTCTCCAGCCTCGAGACATGCTTCACCAAAACCTTATCTAAGCTTGGAACTTCAGAAGCATCTTTGGCCAGACCAAGGACCCCATTTTGAACCTTCAAAGTTGCCTCGTATTCTTTTCCATGATTCCTTTTCATCTCTTCAATCTCCTTTTCGAGTTTTGAAGAATGCTTGATTAGCATGCTTCCAAAGTCAGGAACAGACTCGGAAGAAGTTGCATTAACACCTGCATGTCCACAATCCGTTTCCAAAGAACGATTAGAACTGCCGGAATTTTCCGAGCTGACCTCACCAGTTATACATGCACTACCCACCGTTTCATTGCCAAGCTTCTTCCTACTCTTGGCCTTCTCTACCTCTATTTCAAGCTTCGACTTATGCTTGACCAATAATTTGTCCAAACTTGGCAGTTCAGGTGCTTGGTTCTTTCTCGCCTGTGCATCTAGGAAACTTTGATGGTTGTAATTTTTGGTGGATCCTGCACCAGAAGAGGACATCCTTCTGGAGATAGAAACAGCTGAAGCATTGGAAAATCCAGCAGCACCACTTGAAGAGGACATTCTTCTGGACATAGAAACAGCTGAAGCATTGGAAAATCCAGCAGCACCACCAGGATCCTTACTGTTCTCGATTTCAGATAAGGCAGCATTTAAGCCACAGGTTGCAACTATAGTGGCAAGAGAAGAAAGTTCCACTTCTTGCAAACATTTGAGTCTCTCAACCATCATGTCCACCAGCTTTGCCATAGCGAGCTTTTCCAAGGACTGCCTCCTTTTGTTTTTCCTCTGTCTTGTTCCATCAAGTGGCTTGCTAGTGTTCAAATCCAAAGAGCTAGCAACATTCTTCTGTAATGCTGTTTCGAAATCTGACCCTGATTCCGAATCGTATTCTGATGAAAATTCCTTTAACTCCTGATTATTCTCACCTGTGTCTGGGTTCTGGCTAATCTTTTGCAGCAAGTCCCTGAATTCATCTTTACTAAACGATGGGCAATTGGCAAGCCTAATGAATGCACTTTTCACAGCCGTTGCCACTTCTCTGTCTACCTCAAATGCAGTTTCAAAAGAGGCTGTAACCGTATGAGTAGTAGAACCTCCTCCATTTACAGAAGAAGCTTGTATTTTAGTAGACTGCTGAGGGCAATTTGGTGTATCGTACATGATCACTCCCATAGCTGTTGCTGCTTCACAAGCTTCAGCAGCATTCTTCTCCGCTGTCTGCAATAAAGATTCTGCTTCTTTACTCTGAATCCTGTAAACAAAAATGAAGCAACGAGTCATTGAGCCAGTTATCAGTGGAATAAGAATAGGGTCCTAAAAACCCTGCCAGGACACAAGCTGAATGTAATGTAGTAAACAAGTACTTCAAATGCGTCAAAAACTAGTAAAATGCGATGTCACCTATTACTGATAAAGTTGCACACATTAACTGCTATTATTTTATTTCCATTCCCAAAGCACCAGTTTTATAGCTTAACTGTGATATCCCTGGATTAACTCACTCAAGGTATTCTTCACTTTGGCCCGTCCGATACCGAGCCTCATAGTTTTGTCCTTTGGCATACAGGTGAACACTTTCGCAGGAGGTCACCCATCTCGGTAGTGCTCTTTCCTGGGCTCGCTTAACTTTGGAGTTCCAAAGTAAAGCTCGCTGTTATATCAAAAGACGCCTCCGTGAGTTAATTCTAGTTTTCACATATATATCCCGACATGTCCTCTACCTGTTCAATGTACAGTTCGGTTCATTTTTGCCCCTTTGCCATCCTAGAAGCCTACTAGGAGCTGCTCCTTTCTAGGCCCTCTGGCCTTGGCGAACACTCCTCGCCTTCAACGGACCGAGTCGTTACAAGCCTACCAGCCTTCGCCTGGTTCATTCCCGAACCACACACCTACTGGAGGAGGTCCTGCTTTGATAACATATTGTGACATTCCTGGATTAACTCACTTGAATTATTGTCCGCTTTGGCCTGTCCCATACAGAGCCTCACGGTTTTGTCATTTGACGTACAAGCAGGCACTTTCCTAGGAGGTCCCCCATTCTAGTAGTGCTCTAGCGAGTGAGTTAATTCTAGTTTTCACATATATATATATTTATATATATCCCAAACACGCTCTTCCCCTATTGTGCACAATTCAGTTCATTCCTGCCCTCTTTGTCATCCTAGAAGCCTCTCTCCCCTTATTGTGCACAATTCAGTTCATTCCTGCCTCCTTTGCCATCCTAGAAGCCTGCTAAGAGGCCCCGGAGACCACTTCCCTTGCCCTCGTCAGACCGGGTCGTTACATTAACAGATGCCCTTCTTAGTACCACATAATATAATCGAGAAATCCAGGCATTTAAACTTCTTACCTGGCTGCTTGTAGTATTCGACTCCAGGATGCTTCCACCAATGCAGCTTTTCGAGCCTCCATTGCCCGGTGTGCAGCCTCTCTTGCCGCCATCTTTTCTCGAAGTACCCTCGAGTAATGTGGATTTGCATCATCTAAAGTCTGATCGAGACTTAAGTTCATGCCATCTCTTTCCTGAATTAAGTTAACTCAGTGGGAATTTCTTTGAAGTTGATGCATACTCGGGAGAAATACAGGATGAATATTACCTGAAGCATTTTTATCTTCCTCTCTAAGTAGGAGTCCACTTTCTTGCGCGGAAACCAATTGATAGGGGACGTCTTACGGTGTAGAGGCTTCTTAATCTGTGAAGTGAATTTGTTGAGGGCTGTTATCGATTGCCTTGTTTCCTTCGACAGTTTATTCTGCAATAAGGATTTGATTATCATCAAATAATCAAATAAAAGCAATGAAAGAAACTGAGAGAAGATCCTTATTAAACGCAATCTAGAGATTTGAGGGTCAATCTGAAATAGGATATAACCGGACCACCTTCCACCATGTTAAAAGAATTTTCTCGCAGATTTATCCCCAAAAGTTGAATGAAACCTGAAGCTTTGAACATGGGACTACTGAACATATTATGTCTTAACACTGAGAATGTGTCAAATCAGTCCAACAAGTTCATTTTGCCATGGGGAGCAAATGAGACAAGCAAACAAAACTCAATTAGCATAGAGGCCTCACTTTGGGAAAAAGTGGGTGGTAAAAGATACATTGCGAAGGCAGTCTTCGTTCCAGATTTCAAGAGTATTATCATATTCTAGTCTCTGTTTGTCAAAACCCTCAATGAGATCGAAGTTCGAACTTTCTTCAAACACAAAGAATCACATAACCTATAGAACAGAAACCAAATGCAGTACCCTGATCCAAAGGACGCAGATCCAAAGGACATAACCACTCAGTGAATTTCCCCACTACAGTATACACTGTGACAATAGAACCTAAAGATACATTGCGAAGGCAGCCTTCACTCGAGATTTCAAGAGTATGGTCAAATTCTAGTCCCTCTGTTTGTCAAAACCCTATAAGATCAAAGTTCGAACTTCAGACACAAAGAACCACATTACCTATAGAACAAAAACCAAATGCAGTACCCAGATCCAAAGGACACATCCACTCGGTGAATTTCCCCACTACAGTGCACACCACGACAATAGAACCTAAACTTACGCCAAACAACTTCCTCGGTTTCGCTCGCCTAGCACATTCCTCAAACGACAGACAAAATCAAAGCTCCAAGCGGCAAATTTTCCGATCCCAAACCCCTGAATCTTAAAACCGCAACCCATAAACCCTCATATACGAAAAGCCTAACCTTTCCGGGTTTTGAGGCCGACGTCTTGATCTCAACCGGGAGCGGGACGCCTTCCTTCTCATCCGAATCAAGATGGCGATCGGCATCTCGCTTGTCCGAGACCGAAATGCAACCCATGTCGAAGCACCCCAAGTCCATGCTCGGTTTTTTCCCGGATCTGGCGAGAGATTGCGAGCGCGGAGCAGACCCGGAATCCGAATTGACACTCGAGGAAGATCGGGGATTGAATTGGGGGCGACTAGAGAAGAAGCAGAAGGATCTTGCGCAGGATGTCTCCGGAGATTGAAGAAATGGAATGGCGTTTCGTTTTTTTGCATTTCTTGGAAGTAGCCGTTATAAGGGAAGGTTGCTTGCTTCGGCCTCAACGGTCATTTCAGCCCGGCGGAGATGCGATACGATACGGTCGCGTCCACGGGTCCTGGTTGGGGCTGTAATTTGCTTTGCTTATTACAATATCGACCCATCAACGATTAGCATATTCGCCAACAAAAGAAAATGGGATAATCACGTGAATAGTCCCTAAACTTTGACCTCTTGTGTAATGTGATTTATGAACTTTAAATTTATTCAATATAGTCCATGAACTTTAGCCCAACGTGCAATGTCGTCTCTAAAATTTTGATTTGTTTAATATGATCCCTAAACTTTTGATATTTGTTCGATTTAGTCTATGGACTGAATAAAAATGTTCAATGTTATCTTTTCATTAGCTCAGAGATTAAATCGAACGTGTACCATCGAACAATTTAAAAGTTCATGAATGACACTGCACGTTGGGCTAAAGTTTAAAGACCATATTGTATATTGGGCTAAAATTGATGAATCACGTGTGTCGTTTACCCGAAGAAAATCGAATCAGAACATGACCATATCCCTCCAACATACATATGGCATAACATTGAAATCTTTAGTTGGAAAATTGAAGACTGCGTCCAACTTAAACCTCGTTTATTAGGCTAAAAACAAATTATTTGAAAAATATTTTTTTAAAAACTATCATATATATCGCTTATAAAAATGAACGAACGAAAAATATATTTATTAATTGCGAAAATATTTAAAAATAATGCTCTATTTATTTCGCAAAAAACGAAAGATTTGAAAATATTTTCCTAGAAGTGATTGCTCTTATCGCTTGCAAAAATGAATGAACGAAAAATATTTTCACCGTTTAAAAAAATGCGTAGACATATTATCAGTGACGATAACGTTTTTTCAATGCCTAATTGTTTTAAACGATACGGGCGTTCATTTTTTTTGAAATACCTTCAAATCGTTTATTTTCCGCAAAACAAATGGGACACAAATTATTATCATAATGAAACGTTTTCTATTAACTAATTATTTTAAGCGATACAAGCGATCATTTTTAGAAAAATAAATATTATTAAACACATGGGTGTAAGGAAATTTTTGCAAGTACTTTTAATTCGTTGATTTACACATGTGCCTAGAAATATTATATTCTTACGTAACCGAATTTTTCGATTTACATATCATTCACTCAACGATGAACATGCGAATAATTTTTTATTTTGATAATGGATATAAACGGAAAAATGACACATTCTGGAATTTGACTCGATATGTAATGTAGTTTATGAACTTTCAATTTGTTCAATGTGGTCCCCGAACTTTGGCCCAATATACAATGTGATCCCTTAACTTCTAATTTGTTCAATGTGGTTCTTGGACTTTTGGTACATGTTCAATTTAGTCATCGCACTTTATGAAAATGTTTAATATTATCCCCGAACTTAAATTAATGAAGGACAATTCACGGACCACATTATACAAAAGGTTGAGTTCATGGATCACATTGAACAAACTAAAAATTCAGGGACTATATTATGCATCGGGCCAAAGTTTAAAGACTGTTTATGTCATCATCCCATCTAAACAACCTATGTAAAAAGCATTTTCACAGATTTTTATTTTTTGTTTATTTCCTTCCGTTTCCTTTACATCACCGAACCGAAACTTTCGCGAATTTGCATTTCGCAACTCGCCATCTCCGAACTCTCCTAGCCCCTTTCGGAACTCCTCTTCTCCTTCTCCTTCTCCTTCTCCTTCTCTCTCCTGCACAGCACCACCAAATCCGCAGGTGGAGAGCGTTCGTTGGCGACCTCTTCCCTTCCGCTAGGGTTCGCGGATTCGACACGCGGCGCGCGCTTTGCATGACGAGCGCTTCGGAGCTGTTCTACAACCGGAGATCTCGCCTGCAGCGCGCCTCGGCGGCGGCGGCGGCGGCGACCGCGGGGTTTGATCAGGGGTTAGGGTTCGATGACGCCCCCGATCGGAACCTCCACCCTCGCCGCCACCATCACGCTCACAGGCATGACCTGGACGGCTGCGATCCTCTCCGGCGGTCCCCGCACGTGCGCCCCCGGGGCTCCCACTCCGTAAGGCTGTCGATCTTAATTGGAGAATTTCTTTGGGTCTTCGGTTTGGATTGCTGTGGGTCGTGTTGATTTTCAGGCGAAGGTGCCTCAATTAGTTCTAGTTTTCGCGTTGTTAGATGTGAGGGGGATAATTGGGTAGAATATTCCTGGAAATGCAAAGGTAAAAGATAGTGGGATCTTTGCATCTCTTTCTTCCAGTGAGGCTTGAAAAGGTAAAGTTAAAGGCATTTAATTTGACCATAATAGCAACGGGCATGTTTTCAGGTGACAAAATGTAGTCAAAACTCAGACATTGCAAAGACTTTCTTCAACTTTTGGTTGGTTTTAGTGTCATTGAAGGAGTTTTGGCAAGTATGACTATAGAAGGGAACAATCGAGAAGATGTAGGGCGGTTATCTTCTTTTTCTTTGAAAATTAAAATTCTGTTATCTAGTGAGGACAATGTTGAAAATGGAAAGTGAACTTGTGGATAAATTTTAAATTTCTACCCTGTTGGTCGTGGCTGAATTTCTTCCTAAACAGCCAAAGGATGCGTAATATCTAAGTTACTTCGGCCCATAATTAAAGGAAAGGGGTCATATATAGGGAATTCAGATGGCACATAGATTGATGTGTTCTGCTGGATCAATTTAAAGGAATCCTGAAACTGTTCTGGGCCTTCTTTGAGCTTCCGGACCACTCTGTTATTGGTGGCAGTTTTCAGGCAAACCCTTCATTTTTTCACATTTAATTTGGACAGGCTGACATATCTGCGCTAACGAAAATATATTAATCACTTCAAGCTAGGATGGACAGTTCTTCAATTCACTACCGAGCTGGAAAGTGATAGATCTATGATTACAGATACACTTTTAATGCAAAACTGTTGAGGTTAAATATAATTTAGTGGAATGAGTAGGGGGAGAATATAGGCTTTGTATTTCATCTTATAGGGAGGTCCGCTGTAACATAATTGGATAGGCCTGTCCATGACAGGATGCTCGTTATTAACTTAAAACAGTTTGGGCGGCAGTTTAACTACATCAGTTTATGTGAGAAAAAATGGGGAAACATGGTGAAAGGCTAGATAAGCTTATTAATGGGAGTCGTAATATGCTTTCAAGCATAGATTTTTGACAAGTAAATTCTTGTTGTTTCATGGAACAAAATATAGGGGTCTGAAATCTGTGCATTTCTGCTAGATGTTGGCATCTCTGGTTTTCCGTTTGAGTGAACGAGGGTTGTTAAGAGAAAAGAAATTTGTGACAGAGAGATCAGATGCAACCGTTGTTGCATGTCGAACTATCTACCAATTCATTTGGTTCTTTATGTGTTTAATTGCTTTCCTAATTCCTCAGCCTTTTAACTTCACTGCATTTTTTTTGTAGTAGTGATCCTCCACCTATGCAATTATTGTGTTGTATGTCACGAAAATAAAATGTTTATCATCGTGTTTCCTTTGGCATGGTTTAGGAACGAGTGTCAAATTGGGTAGGGCAAGGTACTTCTGCTTCTGGCAATAGCACAAATATGCACCCTCTGAGCAGTGTGAGGAGACCTGGTAATTCCACAAATGAAAGGCTTCCTGGTTCTGTGCTGCTTGCTAGGGAAAGACTTCTTGAAAGGCTTAGAGGGGTCTCTCTTTCTGGAAACAGGTAGATCTTGCAGTGAGTTTAAGTTCCTGTATTTCATGAGGCTTATATAATTGACATGTTGAGTTTCGTTTCTTCTATTCCTGCCTTTTGGGATATGGTGGTGGGGAAGTTGTCATGAATGGCTAAATTCTAACATTCTTTCTCTTTCAATTTTTTGCGAGACTATTTTATGTTGATCTTAACCTGTACGCGAATTCATTTTTCTGGAATCATGCGTCAAGCATGCTTATTATTCCTTATTCCATGTCACTGAGTTAAGTTCTGCTCCAGTATTGCTTCTAGTGTCTTTCCTGCAGACTTAGTTTATAACTGAATAACCAGATAGCAACTGTTATCCTGATTAAGTGGCATGGTCGTACCAGCTAATATTTCGTTGATCGTTGCTTGGGGAGTCTTATGTCCCCCACAACCCCATTAAATTTTCCCTTACTCTGCCTGAGGTGCTATTGATGCTTCTCTTTCCACTGTGAAGCTAGGTACTGTTCCCTTGATAATATTTCCGGACAAGCAAGAGGGTTTGTTTTGACATTCTTGTTGCCTTTTCAGCAAATACAGAGCTACTCGCCTCCACTGTGTTTCACATTCCTGTCCTATTCCATGAATTCTCTTTTCTGTTTTTTCTCCTTTTTCTTCATTTTCATCTGTTATGTTGCACTTGCTATATATTGCGACTGTATTGCTGTTCTATTAGTCTAGCCCGCTCTTGGGCCTTTTTGAGGACTTTTGCGACCGCTGCCATGTCAAATGCTGTAGATAAAATTCTCTTCTTTTGTAGGCGAAGCAGCAGAGAGTCCTCCTCCACGAATCATCAAGAAAATATGTACGATGATCGTTGGAGGCTGGCAGAAATAAGTGATTGGGGAGTTGAAACTTCGATGCAGTCTTCGACTGTAAGTTCTCACGTTATTGGCTTGTCCTTGCCACCGGAGCCAATAATGACAATGAGCATGAAGAAGCCGCCTGGCCTGAGTCAGGATGCGATAGACCATTTGCAACAGGAATTCTTTGACTGTGCCGATAAGGGTGCACGAGGACATGTGGACGGGGTCAAGCAAGAATGCTGTATCTGTCTCGAGAGTTTTTTGGAAGGCGATAGACTCACGTGTTTGCCCTGTGAGCACAAATTCCACTCTGCTTGCTTGGTTCCGTGGGTCCGAACTTGCGGCGACTGCCCATATTGTCGCGAAGCCATAACTGTAAGTACTAGCCAAACCAGATGAGAGGAAATCGTGTGGGTAATTAGATTTCGATTTTCTTAACTCTTTTCTCGCTTGCCTGTCAGTTCTTCCACTTGAAAGTACTCGGAGAGTTTGACCTATAGGTGATGATTCCGTATCATTCTGCGTTTTGTGTCATGGAGATTGTATCACATAGCAACTCTCAAACACTGATGATGTGGACATTTTTTCCCCAGATTATGAATTGCTTGACCTATACAGAGGAAAAGATGTATCGTCTGTCGGTGTCTGTTAGGTACGCAATTGCTTGGAAATTTGATGGAATCGAGGGCTGAATTTCTTCCCCTCTCAGTGAGGAGAAAGGGTCAAAGCAGAAAAGGACATCTATGAAAATCCACCATATTGGTGGTGGTTGCTGTACAGTAAAGTGATTTGACTATTAAAATTACAACGGTACTGTAAGGTCAAGGTTCAAGAATGTTTCTAGGGAAAGTTTATAATGACGAATTTAGCGACCCCGACATCCTCCTCCTCGTCATCATCGTCATCGTTGAATTTGTTAAAAATGAACTGGCAGAACAAATAAAATGGACTATTTGTAATTCGCCATGTCAGATTTTCAATGTTTAATCAAACCTGGTAAAGTTTAATTGACGTACTGAAATGAATCAATTCAGCTACCAGAGCATTGATTCCTTGAGAACACAAATTGGGGTAAAGCTGAGAATGGCATCGGCAACCCATCTTTAATAAGAGCTGTCATCCAAGAATCAGTCAAAATATCAGAACTGAAAAGCGAATCGGTTCAAAAGTCATGGAAACCTAAAGATGAAGTTGGGCAAAATCTCTGGTAAAAGATTCTTTAGTGAAAACAGTCACCAATGACCTGCCTGCATGCCTGCCTTCGAGAAAGAGACCGAGAGAATTGACAAAATCTACGCTGAATGTGTGTAGACAACTTAGCTTTTGGGGCGATTTCGCATGTAGAATAAGAAAATGGATGATGGGGTTCTACACATCTTACTACTTTATAATTGGTGATAAAGAAAACTCAAAGGAGCATATATTCAAGGTCTTATGGGAAGCTACAAGAATTTATTTAAGGTGGGAAACGATGGAAAAGTAGAATTACTACTACAAAATTGACGAGTGGGGATCAGGAAAAAGGCAAAGCAAATTCCACTTTTTCCAAAATCGAAAACAATGATGGCTAATAACTTACAAATGATAAACCTATTCTAAAAGATATATAGTACCAAAAAAACTTTTATAAGCCCGTTTAATTAACTAATTTCAACTAAATCAAATTTCCTTCTACCTAAATATGAAAATAATCTTCTGACCTGTCTTCTTTATAATCATGACACGTTATTCATTACATTTAACTTCAAAGATGTCTCGCATTTTTCCGATGAAAAGAAAAAGATCACCAGAAAAAAGAAAAGAAAAAAAAGGGGGAATAAAAGAATTGCGGCTCGACCCCTTTTTTTTTTTTTTCACTTTATTGAAATTAACGCGTACACTCCACAGTGTAAAATATCATCAGTGTTCCCCTCTCTCTCTCTCTCTCTCTCTCCTCTTAAACGCGTCTTCTTCCCCACGACTTTCCTCCGCCCCTGTCTACACGTTCCTCCCAAGAAAGCACTTCCCCTCCTCCCCTTGATTGACGACGATCACACTCATCCTCCCTCGCAAGCGAAACCCGACCCCGACCCACCTCGCCCAGCGCATAAAAATCCCGTCTTTGTCCATTTCCACGCAGACCCAGAACAAGAAAAGAGAGACAGGGAGAGGGAGAGAGAGAGAGAGAGAGAGAGAGAGAGAGAGAGAGGAAGAGGGTGGGTGGTGATTGCTGAGTACGATGATGCTGCGATCGTGTTACCGGCCGTTGGAGAGGTGCCTGGGGAGGTTCGGCGGTGGCAATGGAGATGGCCTCCTGTGGCACATGGACTTGAAGCCTCACGCTTCCGGGGACTACTCCATCGCCGTGGTGCAGGCCAATTCGAACTTGGAAGACCAGGGCCAGGTCTTCGCTTCTCCTTCCGTCACCTACGTCGGGGTCTACGACGGGCATGGCGGACCCGAGGCTTCGAGATTCGTCAACAAGAATCTTTTCCCTTATATTCGCAGTAAATTCTCTTCGCACCCGCGTGTGCTTTTTTGTTCACTTGTTTTCTGCGTTTCTGAAGATGTTTTCTTTTCGGGCTTTGTTGCGGTATGGGTGTGTTTTGGTTTGTCGTTGATGGGTTTTACTTGAAAAAAATGTCTTGAATTGTTGAATTCCGTTGTAGTATGGAAAGAACTTTGGCGGGAATGGATCGCCCCACGAGCTATATTTGTGATCTTTTGAGCCTCATATATATATATAGTAAGTGTCAGATTCTTGCTTTGTTACTGGCCGACTGGATGAACATTGATCACATATTGACTTCTCTCTTGAACTGAACGGCGGCTATTGGAGAGGGCTTGGTTCTTTCTTTTTCCCTGATTAAAGGAGGTTCATAGAATCAGTTTTCTTCTTTGATATTGGCAACCCAATCTTTCTTTTGTTGTCTTATGTATGACTCGGTTGGTTTGAGGATTTTGATATACTGAATTGACTACATCACTCAAATTTGCCACAAATGGTTTCTTTTAAGTTCATGATTGTAATGAAATGAGAGAATGCATCATAAACAAAATGTTTACTATGGTGTGTTTTGTGGAAACCACATTAAAAATGGTTACCTTCCTCTTTTATGGTATTAAAGACAACAGGAGTTGAACTGAGTCATACTTTCCTTTTCCTGTAGAATTCGCTAAAGAGCAAGGTGGACTATCGACAGAAGCAATAAAGAAAGCCTTTGACGCTACTGAAGAAGAATTTTTGCATTTTGTGAGGAGGTCATTTCCTGCACAGCCACAGATCGCTTCAGTTGGATCATGCTGTTTGGTTGGGGTTATTTCGAATGGCGTTTTATATGTGGCCAATCTGGGGGACTCTAGAGCCGTGCTTGGCAGGAGAGTTATAGGGGGAGGGAACAAGCCAGTGGCAGCAGAGCGATTGTCCACAGATCATAATGTTGCTGTTGAAGAGGTAAGGAAGGAGGTTGAGGCGCTTCACCCTGATGATTCACATGTTGTGGTGTACACGCGTGGAGTTTGGAGGATCAAGGGCATTATACAGGTACAATGTGCATAGTTTTCTCCGATTTTTCAATGGTTACTGAAGTTATCGATACTTGTGACTTACCCATGCTGGATGCCAGTGAATGAATATATGCCTCTTACTGGTGTTCGGTTTGCCAATAGGATTTATGCTTTGCATCACTTATTCTGAATTTGATTGAAAGAATCCAAGCTGTGGCGATCCTCTAGAGATAAGTTTCTGATTGTGTCACGAGCAAGCAGTGTTACAGCCATGAGCATTGCAGTGTTATGGCTTCAGCTTGTCTGTCTGTGTTCCCACATGTTTAGTAGACTTTCAGACCCATACCCCTGATTTTGCTCGAGCTGTTTGTTTTTGGAAGGGGATTGACTGCAGTATTCTCTTAGTTGTTTGTTATCTGTTTTTTTTTATCACTCTCATTGTTGGTCATATTGCCACCACAATTTCCTAAACATAAAGTTTGATAGTTCCATCTTCCAAGTTGAACTTTGTATGGGGCAGGAAGAAGAAGGCAATCCCTGTTTCCTCCTTTCATATCCTTTGTGGGAGATAAAGGAGATCAAAACTTGTCCCTTATTGGGTCGATGCTTTTTGTTTGGGAATTGGTGCCGCTCTTGTCCGTGTAGTCCAACTGCATGTGCATGTATAGATGAATTATACATACTTTGTGCTGAATGAAAAAAAAATTGGATTAGCCTGGTTGTTAGTGGTGTAAAATGTGAATGAACCTCCGGTAGTGTTTATGTATGATAAATAGCTCTAATTTGGATCTTAGCCTGCTAGATGAGTAATGGTAGGAATAATCATGTTCCTTTTACCTGCAAGTAATGGTAGGAATAATCATGTTCCTTCTACCTCACAAAGCTGGGGGTTTACCATACAAGAGTAAGCGAATTCCTGAGCAGAGTAATGAAGAGATTCACAGAATAGAGAAACATCGCGATGCATTCGTTTGTGGTTCTTGTTTCTTGTATGTGTAATAATTGTGTGTGCATTGGAGAAAATATATGCAGCAGTACATGCTGGAGAGATCTTGTTCTAAGAGGGGCATTTCTTGTGAATTGTTCCAGGAATTGCATGCTGTGCCTCTTATTGAACAGTCTCATGCACCTTGAGTCAAGAGCAAGAGGCCTTGGATGCATGAGATGTTCATGAAAATCCTTTGAAACATGCAGTGTCCTTGGGGACAATATGTGCATATGTCCCCTGACAGCTTAGCAATGGACATTAGATTGGTATTCTGGAAGTACTGGCTGTATTGCATCTTTCCTGACTCTACTTCACAGATTAATGGATGATATTTGAATTATCTGATAGTCTTCATATACCTAACAGAAGGCAATCTTTGCTTTTCTTGGAGACTTTGTTTGGACGTTGAGAAGATCAGAAAGGTTTTGAGTGCATTTTTTCTTTGAATTTGCAGGTCTCAAGATCCATCGGGGACATGTACTTGAAGAAACCGGAATTGAACAGGGACCCGCTATTTCAGCAATTTGCAAGCCCTATTCCCTTGAAACGGCCAGTAATGACAGCAGAACCTTCCATCATAAAAAGGAAACTTAAGTCAGAGGATTTATTCCTTATATTTGCATCAGATGGCCTCTGGGAACAGTTAAGCGATGAAGCAGCCGTGGAAATCGTCTTCAAGAGCCCTAGAGCTGTAAGATTCTTTTTGAAATTGTCATTCGATCTTACTGTCCATGGACTTAAAATAATAAGAGAAACAAACATACATACTTGATGTACCATGTTATATCCCTGCTTCCATTTTTGGCCATTTCCCTAGTGAGTATCTGCATTGAATTAGGTAGTGAGAAAGAGAATCCGTCCAGACCACATAAGAATGCCATAGCTAATTGCTTGCTGTTGGTGTTTTTGTCAAGATCATTTGGGAAAGAGAGTCTCGACGTTAAATTTGCGGTCAGTTAATGCTAAAAAAAGTTTATGGGCATTTCTCGCAAGTATTGAGTAGAAATGTCTGTTTTCTTTGTGTTGCAAGCTATATAGGTTAGAAGAAACCCTGAAGATGGTATTTCACAGCTGCTTAATGTTTCTTTTTGTCTCATTTCACAGGGGATAGCCAAGCGATTAGTGAGAGCAGCCCTTCAGGAGGCTGCGAAAAAGAGAGAGATGAGGTACAACGACATCACAAAAATTGAGAAAGGAATAAGGCGGCATTTCCATGACGATATTACCGTGATTGTGGTTTATCTCGATCACCATAAAGAATTGCCTCTCGTTACATCAAAGCACGGAGTGATGAGTTGTACAAGCGCACCGGCCGACATTTTCTCCCTCAGTGCTGATGAAGCAGGAGGGGATCTCCTTCAAGCAATGTCCAAAGCATAGAGTTACCCCTGAAAATGCTTGAAGGTTGACAACTGACTTTTTATTTGTTGATATTTATGTCAATAAGTTTTGCAACACAGGAAGAAATACAGAAAGCTGGAGGAACGTAATCGATGAGAAAAATCCCGAGGAACTGGTGTAAATAGTTCTCTTTTGGTGTTTCTCTTTTTCCCTTTTGAGGAGGGAAGCTGCTTTTGGTTTTTTGAGTGAAGTTCCTACCAGCTTGGTCTTTTGGTCACGGATTTGCGCTTGTTCTTGTTCAACACTGTGGTTCTTTAAGAGGGATTCTTTTGGGGGGACGAAATATAACAGTGACATTGGAGCATCATTTTTGTTCGCTACTTAGCAACCCTTTTGGGAATATGCTGTTTTTTGGATTATTGGATTGGATTTGATATGGTCACTGCATGTCCATGCTTGTTCTGCAGATCCAGCTCTACTGTCTTGGTCTTTCAAAAGGGAGGAAAAGATAACAAAATGAGAGTGAAAATCGAACCCGTGGCATTTAGGTTAACGGGTAATTGTTCGGTCCATCACAGGCGAAAACATAATCCTTACACATTCATCGTCGGATTAGTCACACTATATGGGACTTAAGTTATGTGAACAGACTCTTCAACGCGCCAACAATCCAACCTTACACTGCCAGTGAACCTAATAAAAGTGCTTTGGTTGTTATTGTTTTATACAAATGCGTCTTCTCTTAAAGTTTTGAAAGAGAATACATATTTAGACGAAGTATATGGTGGTGAAGGTTAAATGGGTGTCTTTTGAAGCCGACAGATAAGAAAAAGTTTTTAAATTGACCGTTTCTGAAATATAAGCGATCACTGGTTAAAAAATCGAGCACTTTATGATCATGCTTTTTCTTTAAGGCACATGCCGTCACGATTTCTTCACATTATCTTTCTATAATTGCAACAATTTTTATTGAAATGTTTTTACAAATCCTGTCATAATAAGTCAATTCGAGCCGGCAATATCTTGGATGCTACATAAGTGGGTTGCGAAGATTTATACACTGCCCCTTTAATCTGAATTTGAATGGAACTTGATCACGACTTATCCATCAATGCGATACTTCTTAGATGAATTACACTATATAAAATCACACTCTATTCATATAAGGATAAGTCCCGAACAATTGAAATTGATTATTAGGATGTGTTTGTTATATGGAAAATTTCATTTGTAGAGAAAAATGCTTTTGAGAAAATCATATTTCAGTAAAATATTTTTATTTTTTAGGATTAAAAAATTCATTTTCCTAACTCTAAACACGCGCACGTCATCATTTTCAGCAAATCAAGCCCGGGAAACAAAACAGAGAAGCTCTGGTCTTGAGTGTTCGCTCTCGAGAGAGCGAGAGAGAGAGAGATGAGTACGAGCATGGCGGTCGCAGATTCTGTGTGGAAGAAGATCGAGTCGACGAACTCAGGTGCTTCTCTCTGTACATTTCGATCCTCGCTTCGTGGCTTCCCTCAATCGTGTACATATCCGACGCTCGTAGTGTCGTAACCTTTCGTTTCCTCTTCTTTTTTGTGCGCCCGATGCTCCGAACGGACAGTCACGAACGAGCAGTTGTCGATGTCAGTCTCTCCGACCCTCTTTTTCTGTGTTTGAATTCGACCCATCAAAAAGGCATTTCGGTTTTTGTCTTTCTTGATACGAGGATGAGAACCCGTTCGTCTCTTCCGACGGATGCAGCTTGCATTTCTTGTTCGGCAAGAACTTGGAGCGAGCGACGAGGATAGTGGACCAACGAGGCGTGAAGAGGATCTCCGGCGAACCCAGTGGGCGCTCCATCTTCCAGGTTTACTGTTGATCCTCGCCTTTCTTCGTCACGCGTTAATGGGTCTTGAAAATCGCTGGCAATTAAGCAGTGTTGTATTAGAGTTTGGATGATTCAGTTGGTGGATTAGAGTGGAGCACTGTGATTAACCAGAGCCATTAATACTATCAGGGTTCTCTTTGATTAATCAAGGAAGATGCTTGTCTGAATTGACGCTCATGGATAATTTTGTTCGGTTTATGATGATGAAATAGGTTGTAGGAGAATCTCGGAGAAAGGAGGAGTACTTGTGTTTCCCGGAACATTATTGTGGCTGTTACTCGTTCTTCTATGACATTGTCAATAGAGGCGAACAGCTTTGTGTGAGTGACGTTCATCTCCTTTGCCTGTTCCTCCTTGTAAATTTTCCATGCTCCTCCCATGAACCATCTTCTTCTTCATCTTCATCTTCTTCTCCAGTGTAAACATCAACTGGCCGCCAGACTTGCTGCATCGCTCGGAGCTTGCACTGAAGTTAGAGTCTCCGATGAGCAGCTAGCTGTCTTATTCTCCAATCTCTGAGCATGCTGTTGAAGAGGTAAATGCATCCAAGTATAACAGCCAGGTATTTCCACGTTGTTCCGAAGGAGCGTGGGGTCAATTATAATCCTACTTGCAGGAGTGTGAGATTTGGCAATTGCAATTTGATCGAGCTAATACGGGTTCTCATTTTTACTAGAGTAGAGGAGGTTCTTCGGGCATATGGGCAATAACAGCAGCATCTAACACAGGGTCTCCTTATCTTGCAGAACCAGTCATGTCAGGCTTATGGGGAGCAAGCGTATTCTCAAACTTTGAACATGGACTACTTGGAGAAGTTCAAGCTTATTTTAGCCTTATGCAACTCCTTGGCATCGTAAGGTGTAACAGTCAATGTATGGAGCTTGCTCTATGAATTGTTGACTGCAGGCGCCTGGACCTCTCGACAGATATAAAGGAAGTGAGCGAGCCTGTGGTCCGGCAATTAGTAAAGATGGTTTAAGTTTGACAATTACATAATTGACATATAATTTTTATACCAACTTCATATTCTGTCATACTAAGTATTCAAATGACTGTATAAATGTTCACTATTTAGCAATGCTATGTCGAATCACTTCGGCCTTGGCTGATACTATGAATGGGATCTTAAGCTGATGGAAGCAGCAGTTGGAAGCAATTTATTCGTTTTTTTCTCACCTAAATAAAGTTACACTACAATCAATTGTATCGTCTTCTTTGACGGATCTTCTCATCCATCCACACTGAACTTCATCCTTAGAGTCCCAGCATAGCTTGTCCAAGAACGCCAAACTGCTCAGAGCAAAATTTGGTCAATATCCCATCATATATTGTCCACTGATAGCGCACACATTTTCCAGAGCACTCAGTAAGAATTATATTGTGGATTCAAAGATACAGCAACACCCAGTACGCAAAATTATGGTATAGAAATGTGCCGTGAAGATGTGGGCAAAATTTCCATACAATGTCAAGCCTTCTGCAAATCTGAAACATTGCCATTGCCTTAAATACGCTGGACATTGTGAAACAATTCATCACAAATTTGTTGAGCCACCCTCAGAACAAAGAGAAATTTACAAAAGAAAAAGAAAAGATGGAATCCTGTTTAGTATAAATCAGTATCAGAGCAAGCCAAGCAAGATTCAAATTTACCACACTGGAATCAGAGAAAATCCAACCTGTTAATTTGAGTGGCCATCCTATACTAGCGACTGCAACCTGAATGCTCGGTAGAAAGAACTCTAGGGCAATTGCTTCCCATCACAGACTTTCCTTGAAAGCATTTTGAGATGAAAATATGAAAGTTCTACGTTATTCTCATCAGAGAAATTCATTTGCAAGGCAAATAATTCGCTGGAGCAGTTGCAATCACATAAGAGCCCAAGTTCCGTAAATGCAGGTGAAGAAACTGTGTTCCACTGACTAACCAGGTTATCTTTCACTCGCTTCTATACAGAGAAATGATTATCTTAATGTCAGAGCAAAGCTACATATACATGTCATTTTTCAAGCACGTATAATCTTTGTGGGTTTCTAGCATGATACTGCAAGATTAAGATAAATTTGGCTACAGACATCACAAGCTAAGAAGATGGATCTAATTTGATGTCATTACTTTATAGGGATTATGCATACCTTGAGACAGAAGTGTCACTGAGCTTCTCCCTCAAAGCTTGCTACCTTCAGAGTGTCCAAGGAGTGTCTCAACTCTAAGCATGATGCCTTAGTAAATTCAGGCCGCATTCCTTTTTTCCAGGGACTCTAGAGCGCAACACCAACTATACACAGCAGCATCTTAAATCCTCACATCGCAAGTGTCAAGAAGACATATAACACTTCCGCGAACTTATGGCTCCAAATAAGTCCTGAAGTTCAAGCAGCATCGGAGAAGGGGTTCATCCTTATTACAACCATTTCTTTGTAATTCGTTCCAATAACCTCTGTTCCTCATCTTTAGAGATGTGGCGATCAAGAGTACGTAGGTTAGTAATGAACATGCCGGCCTCCTCTCTCCTATTGAGCTTGCAGTACCCATCTATGATTGAGTTGTACGTGTTTTGATTCGGTCGACAGTCATGCTTGATCATGTAATGAACTGCATCAATAGCCTCTACAAACATTGAGTCAGCTGCATAGCTTGCAATGAAGGTGTTGTAAGTGATTACATCTGGATCAAGCCCAAAATCCTTCAACTCAGAAAATATTCGCGAAGCTTCTCTCATACGACCATTTCTACAGTAGGCAAAAATAATTGTGTTGAAGGAAATAATATCAGGCTTCATTCCCTTCGCCAAAATTTCCCTTAAGAGTTCCTCTGCTTTTTCAAAATTTTGTGAGCGGCTATACATGTACATCAAGCTATTGTAAGTAGTCAAGGTAGGGGTAAAGCCACTTTCCTCCATATAGTTCAAGATCTCCTTTGTCTTTGCAACCATCTGCCTCCTGCCATATATGGAGACCATTGCATTTAGAGTAGGTATGTCTGGTGAAAACCCTCTTTTCTTAAGCTCCAAGAATGCACGTTCTGTTTCCACTATAAGATCACATTTACTATTAACTAATACGAGGGTCTTAAGAAGGACTGCACGAGGTTCAATTGCACCAGAGAAAATTTCTTCTGCAAGAATGCACATTCGCTCAATTTGCTTTCCATTAGCATAAGCATGAAGCAAAGAACAGTAAGTTAGCTCATTGGGTTTACAACGACCGCTCCTCATCTCTCCAAGGACCCTCTCAGACTGTTCCCAGAGACCTCCTCGAGCCAATGCAGCCAAAACAGCATTATAGGTGGAAAGATCTGGATTGACACCTGCTTCAAGCATTCTCTTGTAAACAGCCATGGCTTGATCAAAAGATCCACACCGGCTATAAGAACTAATTAAGGTGTTGAAAGTGTCTCTTTCAGGTACAAATCCTGCCCTCTTCATTTCCTTAAAAACTCCAGAAACTTCAGTGTCCATCCCATTTTGCCCAAACACTGCAAGAATTGTATTCCACGTGACAATATCTGGTTTGCATTGACATATTTTTATCTCTTCAAAGACCTTCATCATTTCCGCAAACTTCCCCCGGTTGCCATGCATCTTAATAAGAGCATTGAAAGTGCAAATATTTGGTTTGCATCCTGCATCTCTCATCTCATCAAAAACCCTCGCAGCAAAATCATCCTTCCCGGTTTTCTCATATCCTGACAAGAGAGTAGTGTAGGTAAAAACATCAGGTTTTATGCCCCTTTCAATCATCTGATTCTTGAGCTCCATAGCCTCATCCAATAGACCATCTCTAGCATAAGCGCATATCAAAGAGTTATAAGTCACGATAGTAGGCAAAAAACCATCGAGCTCCATCTCTTTTAAAACCTGCACAGCTTCTTTATGCCGCCGAGATTTCCCATAAACGTCTAGTAATGCATTGTATGTAACCTTATCAGGATTAAACCCCGCCAATTTCATCTCCTTAAAAAAGCCAGCAGCTTCTTCATACAAAGACCCACGGCGGCAACAACTAATGAGAGTGTTATAAGTATACAAATCCGGGGCAATCCCAGAACTTTTCATCCCCTCGATCAAACCAATAATCTTGTTCCATGGCATTCCCATTTTCCCATACACATTCAGAACCACATTATACGTAATCAGAGTGGGCTCACAGCCCTCTTCCTCCATTTTCTTAATAACCATCACTGCATCTCTGTACCTCCCGTTGCTAGCAAATGCAGTTATCAACGCGGTATAAGCATAAACATCGATTTCAAATTCGTCCTTGCGAAGACTGTGCAACAAAGCATCAGCAGCAGTAACTTTGCCTTCTTTCCCAAGGATATTGACAACCACAGCAATGACGGAGCCAGTCAAAGCCAGAGCATAGCCTTCCCGACTCCTGACCCAGTCAACCACACTCAACGCCAAGTCACCTTTCTTGTTATACCCTAAACCCTTAACAATACCAAGAAGCTCCAAAGACAAAAACTCAAGACTAAAGACACCATCTTTATCGTACAATTCAATCAACTGGACCAAAGAGGCGTCCATTTGAGCCGCGTCGAATGATGGGTCGATGAGTTTCTGGATAAAGGCCTGACCTTGAGGGGAGAGGCGGTGGTGGGTCCACGGTTTTCCGCGGTTGGCATCATGGGACCTGCCTATCCGGGTCCGCTCTCTGAAGTTTGGAGCTGGAGCTCGGTTCTGGGATTGGGACTGGGACAGGGACTGAGTGAGCCGGTCCAGAGACTCTGAAGAGCAGAAGTTCTGGTGGAGGACGTCCTGAAGAAGTGGGGCGGGTGGTGGTGGTGGTGGTGAAGGTGAGGGTTGGGGATGATAGCTGATGTGGTTAGGGAAGATGGGTTTTGGAGATGGAGGGCTCGGCAGGATAAGAGGAAGAGCTAGCTTGTCAGCCATTTCGTACGCACAGAGAGAGATCAGAATGCTGCGTCCGTTGCAGAAACGTCCTTGGCTTGGTTAGGGAAGACGAAGATACTTCCGGGTGGGAGCAATAAGGACGATATTTTATGCTTGTCTGTGGTGAGATTCATCAAGGCTTGCCGTGGATTTTGGCCTCTTGGAATCTGGCCGTGTCGATCGTATTCCCCAACTTCTATGCTTTGAATTTCAGGAAATATACTAAGTCTTACTGGTAATTGACATTTTTCGGAAAACTGCTTGAATTCTCGGGCTCCGTTTGTTGAAAGACATTTTCTTAAAAATAATCAATTACATTGCTTAAAATAATTAATCAACGAAAGATATTTTCGTGGACGACAAAAATAATTTTTCTTTCTTTCATTATTGTAAGTGATACGAGCGATTATTTTTAGAAAAATATTTTTTAAATTATTCATTTGAGTCTCAATTTTTTCACAATTTTTGAATACGCGTTTTCATTCGGATTCTACAATCGGAGACCGAATCATTTTATTCATATACCATAAGTTTCTTTATTTCTTTACTAACGATTTGCAATTGGACTGAAGCGGCCAGTTATCTACCTTGGAATCGGCCCATTTTATGTTTTGAGCCAAATTTTTATAATAAAATATAACAATCGTATCATTTCACTATAAAAGTACTTGTTAATCGAGTGATTAAGCGGTTCAATTCTTGATGAATGCGAAAGTTTTTATTTTATCTTAAAGAAGCTTCGGAACCGATTAAGAACTGATTCAATCAGTCCGGTTCCCCACTAGAATCGTAAACTGAACTTGTCCTGGACCTGTTCTAGGTTTGTGGAACCGGATACCAAATAGGTGCTTCCTAGAACCAGCCTTGAATTGAACCAATCGGTCCAGATCGGGTTTTTAGGTTGAATCAAACCAGATGCTCACCCCTATTTATAACTAAGTTGAAAGCAAATAACAGGACTCTCTACAGGAGACATGATATTGAGAGCATTCAACTGAACACTAGCGCTCATCTTTGATTTTTGCCACATCAGATACAGAGAAAGAAAACTCTCAAAATCATTTTATGACAGGGACATAATGTTCTGAACGATACATATCGCAAAGTAATCTTGTGGATTGGAAACCTGACCCTACAGATTACTGAATCAATTCCTTTGCCACCATAGCCAAAATCTTTTCCAACAAAATTTCATTTACGTCTGACTAGAGTTTCAAGCCTGAATGGATGGCAACAACTCCCCCAACAAGATTTTCGTACTCGACCTTCTGAAAGCCAGCATCAGCAATCATTGAAGCAAATTTTTCCTGCATTTATGAACTGCTGAGGTGAGCACTTAGTCGAAGATGGACCGATAAAATTAGAAACAGGAGCATTGTTAAAGAGAACTCAAGCTATTTGGTCTTAACAGAGCCATGCATCGATCCGTTTATTTCGTGGTTTGGCCATTCCATTTATTGATTCATTAACTAATGATAAAGTCGTCCAATGTATGGACCGGTGCATTTTGTACCTTGTGTGAAGACTCATATCTTGACCAAATATATATATAGCTTTACTAGGTCACATCTCTAAAAAGTTCTATAGGGCATAAGCAGGGTTCCATTTGGCGAATGAAATATACAAGAAAACAAAATGGAGAGACATTACCTGTGCAGGAAACCGACGGATGCTCTCAACTAAGTATTGATATGATTCACGATCGCCCGCAACTAATTCTCCCATAGCAGGAATAACCGAGAACGAGTAGTAATCGTACCTGCATGGGGCAAAGTCAGAACCTCAGATTAAAAGGGACTTGCAAATGAACATGAAAATGGCCGTAACCTTTCAGCATTCAGGTTCCAGAATCATAACCAAAGGTTCTCAATTAGCAGGACTTGCAAATGAACATGAAAATGGCTGTAACCTGTCAGCATTCAGGTTCCAGAATCCTAACCAAAGGTTCTCAATTAGCAGACAAAAAATTTTCTTCTTTTTTTCGGGGAACTCGAATATATTATAAGTACAGATTACAGAATTTCTCAACTATCAAATGCTTCTTATGACAACTGACATGGTGCTAAAGATGTCTATTGCCTAAAAAAGTATGATAGTGCAATTACAGAGTCCTCTATCTAATAAAAAAGAAAATGAATTGCTAGTGAGTGCCATTAAGCAATCCAAGATGTGTCAGCAGTCAAGGCACTCAGTAGACTCACAATTCCTTGAATATGGGAGTATCCACGTGGCTCAGTTCAAGGCAAAGGAATCTGCCTCCTCTTCTAAGCACCCTGTTGAAATAAACATGAACGAAGTTTCAATGAATAATATTTCCCCGAAACAACAGAATCCTGAGGACCTGAAAAGAGCAATGACATTTACAACCTCAAAGGGCATTAATTCCCCAAAAATTTATGTAGGGAATCCATCTTTTACTGGAAATCTCATGAATCTCCACAATCTGCCAACTATGCACACTTTTGTTTATGTTTACTTACACAAAATGGTAGGTGGCTAAAGGACTGTTGAAAGAACCAAAGAAGAGTAATAAAAGAATTAATAATTTATTCTTCATCAAGACAAGTGAGATGGTAACCTCTTAAAGTCAAATTAGGCTTCTTAAACGAAACTGAGAACCCTGAACTTCATTTTTATTATGCTGACAGCGAGGTACTACATAAATATCAGGGAACTCGTACCTATAAGCTTCAGCAAGTACTTTCTCAATGTGTGTTACATTCCTAATCCCAAATGCAATTGTGTAGCCATCCATTGAATTATCTTCGAATTTCAAGGATTCTGCATCTCCCTCCACCCATATAAGGGCCTTATTGTCTCCAAGACCTAATAATATAGAGGAAAGTAATATTTTAGCCTCAAAAGGAGTTCACCCTTCAACAAGATAATATACAAGTAAGGAACTTTCCCTTGCTCCCCTTACCTCTCTCTATGGCCCTCTTTTTACCAACATTTAACATGTTTGGATTGATGTCGCATAGGTGTATTCGAGTTTCTTCATGTAAGTAATCCTCCGTAGCATCCTGCATTGCTCGATGTCTTGTGCTGTTTATATCTTCCAGAATCCTGAAAGCAACATCACCTGTCAAAATCAACAAAAAATTAAAAGGAAAGATAATCAACTCAAATTGGGATCATCATATTAACTCAACAAAACTATAACACGTTTTCCTAAAAACCCAAGGTTCCTTCCATTTCCAACATATCGTTGAGGGAACTAACAGTATTTTCAGTCTATTTAGGATCCAATGACCCCTAAGTTCCTAGTTTCTTCATCTGTACCACTACGACAACAGCAGGAACATGAAACATCCTCCATCACTGGTTTCCCATTTGAGCAAACTCGGTGGGATGAAAACATGAAGTATAGTAGAATGCATCAGAAAACAACAAAACAAAAAAGTCATATTCCTGGGTGATATCAAACTAACTAAGATCCCCTCGTATGTAATGTGGGGAAGGCTAGGGCAGACATCATCAGCAAAATGACCAACACTGCCCCACTCCATATGACAGAAGTGCAAAATCTTATTTTATAATATAATCATCAGAAAGAAGTATCTTTAAGGAATCACAATCCATACTATCATCAGTTATATATTCTGCACATTCAAATGTTCAAATTCTAAAGCTAACCTGTCCCACCGGCCACATCAAGATGCTTCATTCCTGGGAAAGGGTGCAGCTTGGAAACTAGTCTGAAATATGTCAGAACACAAGCCATAGCGTGAAGGCAAGACAACATATCGCCAATCGAAAACGAACTACCATGTGAGCTACCACACAATCTGACCTATCTTTCCATAGTCGATGAAGACCGCCACTCATCAAATCATTCATGAGATCATAGGTTGAAGCAACACTCGTGAAGACGTTCCCAACCATTTGACTTTTATCCTCTTCGCGCACTTCTTTAAATCCTAAGAAGAACGGGAGGGAAAACAAGCAGTATTCCGTAAGGCCCTAATGGCAAACAAGGGAAATTCTGGGAAACTCTTCAATTCATGGGAACAGCAGCTTTGCCAGCTGCAACCTATCATTAAGGATAATTCTCAAAGATAGAAAGAATTCAATTGATAGCAAGAAGAAGGGATACCAAAGCTAGTGGCATGTGAATGCAGCAGAGAGGCAGAAGAGAACACGGGCTGCAGTTTACTCTCCAACCTCCTTGTGATCATTCTCAACGCCATGGCAACTCTGCAAAACAATGACCACAAAACCCACAGCGTAAGCCCTACCATTTTGGGTCCCTCATGAAATTAGCAAGATTTCACGAGGCCAAAACAACATCACAACGAGCCAGAGCACGACAAGAGGCACAAATCAATCAGAAAGATCAACGTATTCACGCGCAACCCAAAGCATAACAAGAGGGGAAATTCCATGATAAAGATCAATGACTCATCCATGCGCAGGCAACAATTACGAAGAAAAACAACAGATTCAGGAATCGACCACGCATTGAATGAAGAATGAACAATACCCACAAGTCAAAAATCAAGCTTTCGCGGTTGTATAACCCACAAGGCTATACGCGGAGACACGGTCGCGACAGCAGCACTTGTCTATGAATTCAGTAATCCTCACCAGGCGTCGATTGCAAGATTCGAGAAGCACGAATTGGAGCTACCAAGAAGCAGGTTTATGAATGATGCGAGCTTTTTCTCTCGAAGGCTGGAGCTCTGGCTTTTGCGTCACTGCATGCGAACGGTTGGCCTCGGCGAGGACGATTTAGTGCGGAAGACGATGACGAGTTCGGGCCTCATGAATGGGCTGGTCTGGCCCAATTGCGATTTACAGGTGGGCCCAAATTGGGTTCAAGAATTTGGACTACAATGGGCTCGAAGGACTGTACAGTGGGCTGGCAAAGAGATTTGTCGAATTGGGGCCCAACGTGAAAAGAATCATACCATGCCACCGTGCCACGTGAAAAAACCGATCAATAAAAATGGAGATTTCAAAAATAATGAAGTACAAAGTTAGTCGAGATGTATATCACGAGAGATCGGTTACGTCACCTCAGCCACGAACCTTATGTATAGAATGTATTTTCTTCCTTAGCGTGGTCATAGGTTTCGAATCGTGACGAAAGCAACAATATGATTGATCGGTTATATCACGTCAACCGTGAACCTTATGTATGGAACGATTTTTCTTTTTCGGCATGGTTATAAGTTTCGAATTGTGACTAAAGCAACTCTGTTGAGATCACCTATCGGTAGCCCTATTGTCTCGGTAAGCTATATGGGTGCGGTCTTTGAGGGGGATCGGCACGATCTAATGAAATTAATCGGTTGTTTTATTTAAGGAGCATCCACCTAACTTTACCAAGGTAAGGAGAAGATGTTCTTCCTTCTAATCCAACTCCAAGACGAAACGAAAACAAGTGTTCTTTTCTTATGAAGAAAAGATTGTGCCTTACAATGTCGTAAATGCCAAGATTCCAGCCGAAAATGGCGATCAAAGGAGGTGGAAAACGGGTGAAGATGGGAAGAAAGAGAAGCATAAGCGCTGCTCTGGTTCTCCCTTTGCACGGCCCCGTACGGGTCGGCCTTGAAGCTCGCCCATCTCGACACAGATCGAGCCTCACAGGTTGGTGACAGCAAGATGGTGCAATGCCCACCACGTGTCTAAGCAACTACGTCTTGGCCCAGATGGAAAACGGTGAAGAAAAAGCGCGAGAGGGGAAGCTTCACTGGGGTTTCTTCCAGCGTTGGTACCAGTGGCAGAGCCCTCGTCAATTACAAGGATCATTAATGTCCTCGACCCCAAAAAGTAGAAAAGCCTGGCTCGCCGACACTTCTTTCCGTCTACATTCGCGAACTAGATGAGTCAAACAAGCTTAAACTATTCATCCTGTAAGCCGGATCAAGAACATCTCCACTATTTCTGCAGCGATGCTGGAAGGTGGTAACAGCAGAGCATCAGTGAAGTAGGTGCCTAGAAGTCAATGCATAAATAGACTCGGAAAACAAACGGGTGGTCCACATCTTTATAGTGGATCAAGAATGGCAAGTACCAAGCTCAACCCACGATCTTTAATTGCAAGCTAGGACAGCCCCCGAGTGTTCTTGGAGTTAACATATCTCTGTAGTCCCTTTAAAGGCTGCCAAGATTGAACATATTGGGGTTCGACAAAGCAAGTCAAAATCTAAACCTTGAATTAACATATTACTCTGCAATCTTATGTTTCAAGCGACATCCTGCATCTAGATCCACAAACTTTCGGCGAGTACCGGTTAGTCCCTCCATACGAGGGACTTCGGGTTTGGCTCCAAGCGAAAGAAGAATGCCTTTCCATTGCTCATGGATGCATGGTCGTTTCTGTGCCCGTTGGGTCTGATTAGCCAGAGGAAAAGAGTTGACAGACAAGTGAACGACTTGGAATCTTGGACTGGGAGCCACGAATCAAAGGACGAAGATGATCCTTCGGATTATTACGTATCAAGAGATGCATTTCTTGTCGAAGTGTGAGCAGTTGGAGAGCTCAATGAAGCCCCCACGCTGGAGATAGCTAAGACCGGCCTTCCAAATTTTGTCATCATCCTCGGACCATTAGCTAGCTGGTGTTTGAAGAATGATTGCATGTTTTCACGACAAATAAGATCAAGCCCAGGGATTTTTTTTTGCTTTTTCCCCTTGACCAAACAAGAGAATCAGCTAATAAATAAGGAGGGCCTCCACAACCTTATTCTTCTCGACTTGTCTGCATCAGTGAATTTAATATCAAGTCTATCATTGAGAAGGGAGTGAATTATATGCCTGAGGCAAGAGAAAAAAAACGTGTGCATCATCTCCCTCTGATCTTTTAACGTTGGACCTTCTCCATTACGTAATTGTCGGCAGCTAGCATCTCTCTCACATGTCCAGAAAATAGCCGGAACACGGAGGAGACTCTTTTCTTCTGCCCATCTCTAGTTGTAGCTGGGAAGTACATTGTGCATATAGTTTAGTGAAAGTTCTGCTCGATATAATGTAGCAATTTGAATGTGCGTTGTAGAGTGCTCGACAAAAAGCATCGGTGTCGGACAATACTGCAAAACACCATCATTTCGAATGACATAACATAGGTTTATGACTTATTAGATGATTTAGCCACTCTGTGGAAGCTGCTAAACTTTGGAGTTTCTCTAGCTTTCACTTGCAAATGGGTCGATTGCATGTTGAATGACAGAATAAGAACATCACTTAATAGAGACACCTACTTTTTGTCTGTCCCCCGTTTGGCCGCTAGTTCATCACATCCTATCCCCCGAAAAACCAATACTTGGCCTTCGCCTTCACTCGAAATTGCATCATTGGAGAAAATTTTCGAGCCGGGTAGAGAGAGAGAGATAGTTATTAGTCAAGGGGCCTATGGAGTTTGGTGAGCAGACTCTTATTTACCCAGTGGCTTCCAATTACTGTAAGGGGTCACGCACAAAAATTGGCTTGAAAAACGCAAGGCTACATGAAGCCAAACCACAGGCACACATCACAGCAGCTCATCAACACACATTGTGGTCCAATGAGCATAGGGACTTTCAACAAAAGTAAAGGACCTTCGGAGAAAAGTTCGCGGGGAGAGACCCCCCGTGGTCCATGAAGACATCTCCCACCTGGGAACAGAACAAAGGGAAAAGCTACCCGTCTTCTTCACCGTGAGAGACTGGTAAAGAATATCGAGCGCATGGACATGGATCAACTTACTGAAATTGTCCCAAAAACACTCTTAACCATCGGATAAACAATTCTGACAGAAAAAACCAAACAAATAAATAAAAAGTTCACTGAAGATTGTCCTCAGATTATGCTAACCAACAATAAAGGTGAAGACTAAAGAAGGAGAAGAACTGGAACTCTATATAGAGGAGCCATTTCATATATTGAATTACACTGCCTTTGTTCACACCTTTTGGCTTCAACAGCTGCACTAAAAGAAAACAGCAATACAATCAGAAACCTAACAATCTTACCGGCAAGTACAAATTCGCTTCCACCAGCCAGGCATCAGACCCACAGAAATCCTTCAAAAGTCTACCACATGACAGTAAAAACCTCAAGACCATAAAACTGACAGAACTGAATTAGTTTTGGACTCCTAGGGCAGATAGCAGTTTCCTTGTTACCACTACTGCCACTCGTCTAAGGAAAGGACTAGCCCAGAACAAGTTGAAGGCTAATGGCTCTGCCACATCAAAGCATTACCATCTGCTTTCTTGAATGGAAGGTAAACTAAAAAATAACCTCCATTGCTCTATCCCTATCCGGAATGTCGAGCTCCAACTCCCTAGTTGGATTCTGCACCGAAGAGTATAAAGATTCATCTAGGCCCAGGTCACAACCTGTGAATGATTATGCTCTATTTACAGTCTAATAGAGGCATATCAAAAATCTACCCAGCTCCTACCTAATATACCCTAATTTGTCAGCCGACTAAAACTATCAACAATTGCCCTATTCTCATCCTAACAGTCACTATACTTCCATTCTCCAAATCACATTATCGGTGCAGCTATCATCGGTCTTCTCTAATGCCGCAACTTTGGCCCGATATGCCGAGAGCGCTAGTGCGCTCTTTCCCCTTTCATCTTGGTGAAGCTCAGAAATGTCACTAATAGATCCGGATCTCAAATCTGCCGGAGGGATGAAACAGTCCTCTGAGAGACCCGGGACATTAAACGCAACCTCTTCGATCGTCCAACTTTCCTCCATCCTCGTTTTGGTATGGCTCATTGCAGTCTCGCCAAACCTGAAAAGGGTCACCACAGAATTCCCAGAATGGGCAATCATGATACCATCCACAGGTCTGTAATCATGAAGGAATGAGTTGATCGTTGTTTCCCAGTAAACTGCATCTCCGCCACCACATTGAATCCGAGTCAGATGAGAATCCTCCAGGTAAACAAGAAGTCCTGTTTTCTGGCTAAAATAACCAAATAAGACGTGCCTTATGATCTCAGCAGGGCCCTCACTCCGCGCCTTTAATGTTTGAGGGTCAGCACAGAGCTTTAAGATAAAGCAATCTTCGCCGTTAAGTTTCTTCTCACCTACGCACCTCGCATCAGCAAACAGACTCACAGTGGTTCTAGGGTCGAGACCCTGTAAACAGAATTATGGCCAAAAGAAGAATTAGCAAGGCAAGATCACTAAACATAACACAATCACCCCAGCTGAGAAAAAGGAGAAAAAACGTAACACTAATGCAATAGTTTTCACCTGAAGTGCGCGGCGCAAAGGCCTAACAGGGCCTTTCGCCGTGTGTGCACCAAGCCATGGTGTGTGTCGCCAAACAAGTTTGCCATTGCAGCCAGCATGAACTTTACTTCCTCCAACTGCAAGCTCCACATACCACATATCTGGATCCATCTGCCAGAGCACAAAACCACCTGTGTGTGCAGAATTCCTGTTCTTGATCACCTTTGAAGCAGTTTCGAACTCTGAAGTGGTCATCCTCACCTTTCCCATTGCATAGGCATTTTTAACAGAGTTCTGGAGTGTCTGCCCGCCAGAAGCGGCCGTGTATTGTTGCAGAATGTATTGAGCAGAAGAAGTTTCCTGAGAACAAACGATAAAAAAAAGTCAGATGTAGTTTCACAGAGTCAAAGTAGGTTTCACATGAATGGTCAATAGTTCCAAAAGCAAACAAATCAAGCCCCTCATCGAACAATTCAACAGAAACAGAACATCTAGACAGACAGCCCGACTTTGTTATAACACATCGAAATACTCAGTTTGCATCTGGCATGTATAGCTTCTCAACCATCTACTAACATTACATGAACACGGATCGCAGTGAAACAAGATTATTAGTCTGGCAATTATCCTCGGGATACACTGAAAGATCAGTCTCCAGTGTCCACTCAGTGGAGATACAAGTCGTTCAGTGATAAAGTTCTTCTCCCTTACCGTGCAAAGTCGAGATTCTAAAATAATAGTATCCCACCACCCAATACTAATAGTAACAACTAACAACACATACAGTTAACAAAATAAAGAAAACGGATGCTACAATGCATGGCAAGAACAGTGGAAAAAACCGTTAACAATCAGACTCCCTCGCTAACTGCTAACCTCAAGAAACCACTTCCTATCTGGGGTTGATCTTGAATTGAACAGCTTTGACACCCCCAAGAACAGAGCCAAAAGAAAAGAAAAAGAAAAACAGGAGAGAGAGTGAGAGAGAGAGAGGGGTCTCACAATGGGAGTGTCCTTGATACTGAGGAGAGGCAGAGGGTCGAGAGAGCTGACGTGGACCGGCGCGAGAGGCGCGCCGAGCACCCCGAGCAACACCCTCAGATCAGACCTCCGGCACGCCGCGGAGCTCACCGACGGCGCCCTGTAAAGCTGGCCTTTCACCCACTGCCCCAGTGCAGACCCGTTGTTCCTCCTCGGGTGGCCGCCCGCCTCGCCCCCGTCCGGATCCGGCCCCTCCATCAACGGCGCCAGCGCCTCGCCCGCCGGCCTCAGGCTCCCGGATCTCCAGACCACCGGGTCGGGCAGCAGGCCACCGCCGCCGCCGCCGCCGCTCTTCCTGCGGCGGAGCAGGCCCGACATGGGGGACCCGCTCCGGGAGCGGGACGGGGACAGGGTCCGGATCACTTCTTGCTTGAGGGACGAGAAGAAGTTCTGCTTCTTCTCCATGCTCGGCGACCCAGAGGAGACGGGGAGACACACGGGGACGGTGCGCAACTGCAGTAACGAGAGGAGAGAGAGAGAGGGGGAGGGGGGGCTAGAGAGAGAAAGCTGGCGATGGAGAGAGAAGGGAGGGAGCAATCTTCATGAGAGAGGGAGAGGGGGGGAGAGACAGAAAGAGAGACAGGGGATGCAGGGATGAGCAAGGGAAATGAGTGGGAACAAGACTCTCGTTTTTGAAGTGTGTGCGAGGGACCGTGGGGGAAAAAGTAGCGTGCGAAGTGCGACTGTGTGAAAACAGAGAGGAATAAGCACGCACAATTAAATATAAATTAATTTTTTTTATGTGTCTTCTTATTTTTGGTTTGGCTAAAGTAACGTATAGAATCTTGCAAAAAAAAAACAAGAAAGTAATATATAGAATAATGTGGCTCTAACATAGAGATTAAAAAAATCGAAATTAAAAATCAGAACACCCCTAAAAACTGGGATTATTACATCCACAAACTTGATTATAATCTAGGGATAGCCCCCTAAAAGTGGCGATATAAATTTGAAGGGTATTTATGAGGTAGGGTGCATTTGCTTGGCTAAACCTACGCGAGAGATAAAAAGGCTCGATTCGGTACGATGAGACTCGATTGCGTTTCAAGAGCGAAGCAGTTAAATTGATAGCAAGCGAAAGTAATCTGTTAAAAGGTCAAGGAATCAAGCAGGAGCTGATGGGACCAAGCCCCGAGATTCTGAAGAAATTTAACCGTCCGGTTGTTCGGGTGCATCAATCGAATCAGATCATTGAAAAATTGAAATTCTCGGGCAATATCATGCATCGCTTCGACTTTTTCTGTTTTTTTATGGGTCCTTTTTGATGTGTAATTTATGCAGAACAACCAAATATTTTTCTAATGATTATGTCTACATTCTAGGATATTGGTGCATAACTGTCCATAGCCAGTTTGAATTTGGAACGGCCACACTGCAAGTGCACGAGGAAAACTCGCGCGGTTCCAGCTCCCGACGCGTACTCGCTCGCATCGCGGCTAATCCCGCGATTGCCGAGGGCCGGTGGGACACGCTGTTGCTCAACCCGCGAGAGTGGCGTCGGATGCCCTACTCGCAGCGCGTGAGACCGTTACGCAACGTAGCTATCGGCCCGAAATGCCCTTTCTACCCCTCCCTCCTCCCGTTGGTGCGCTCCAGCTAAGAAGCGGGGAGCCCCCTCGTGGTCAGTCAAGCACGTTCTCGGCGGTCAACGGAATCGTAGTGCTGCTATAATAATAAAACATACGAAATGGAAATACTATGATTTTTATTTTTTATTTTAATATTTCATGGCGTCTAATAAGTTAGAATGCCCTAATGGTGGTGCCGTTGTGGCCATCCACTAAGCTATTCTTGATTATGATAAATCATCTGTTTTCTCGAACCTTAAACGTATCTCGGCTCAAATTATTGACACTTAGATCCATAGGAATTTCCTATACTTGCTCCATGGATTTTCTTTTAAAATTAGATATAGCAACTCTCAAAGTTACCATTACATTCCGATACATATAGAAATGCCCACGGAGAGTCGACACTTTGAATTTCGCAATTACCTCTTCGGTCGAGGTCGAGCAAGGTGAGTCGCGCTCGATTGGGTCCAAGCCGTGCTTCGAGCAACGAGCCCGACTCGACCGCCAAAAAGTAGGGCCATGCAACCGAACTGCTTCTACTCAGGAATCGGACTTGATCACTTTGAAACCGATCCGATTCTTCAATTCTCGGTTCCAAGTAAAGAACTACTTAGGAACCGGATCAATCGAACTGAATTTGGAACCAGTTTCATAAAGTCTAAAATCATACTTTTTTCTCTTGGTATCTTTTTCTTTATCTCTCTCTTTTTTTGTGTTATCTCCAACTTCACTCAAATACTTCACGACTCTCTCTCTCTTTCTCTCACTAGCGACTCACTCTCCGCCTTGCTCGCTTGTGGCTCGCCCTTGCTCATTTGAGCCTCGCAACTCTCGCTCGTTCTTGACTCGCCTTTGCTCGCTCGCCCTCGTTCATATTTTACTTTGAACCGTTTTGTTGCTCATATTATTTTGCTGTAAAAAATAAAACAAAAAAAGAACGAAAGAAAAACAGGTTATTCGGTAGACCCTGGAATTGGACTGAAAAGGTAGGTTTCACGGTCGGTTCCAAGGCAAACGGGTTAGGTTACACGTTTCAAGTTCGGAACCTACCTACCTTAAAACCAATCACTCCTATCAGAAAGTTCACAAGGTCTTGTCTTTATATATCATTGCGACGAAAAACAGAAGGCCATCGATCAAAGACATGAGATCTAAAATAGACTGATATAGAACATGTACGTGACTCATCCGATCAAACTCACTTTAAGATGAAGAAAGCACGCAATTTTTGCCTTGGAATCGATCGTGGTCAGGTTGCCATCTTCGTCTCGATCGACACCAACTCTAAATACGCTCGAATCTCATCCTATTCGGTGCCACATCAATCCACACGACTCAGACGTTGGCATGAATTTCCTAGGTCATGTCGGGCCATCGCCATTTCAGAAATTCGTCAGAAGTCAAAAAGGGTTTGGGGGGAAGAGATCAGCGAAGGTGGTCGCGCACGACGACGACGACAAACGACACCGGCGGGCCGTGCACGTCGTCTTCTGCGGGGGGGGAGGTGAGGTGATGGATCGACTGTTCATCAGACAATGAAGAAGGCGACGAGCATCGACCATGTGACGACGAAAAGCTCTCCCAAAGGAAGGAAAAGCGCGCCTGCCTTTTCTAAAAAGAGGCTGTGCCCATCTCCCGAACGCGTTTTTTCTCCTTTTGTGCTCCTTGCTGGGGTTTTTCCCACTTCAATGCGAATCGTTTCCAGCTATCTTCTACCCCCCAAGTCCAACTTGCTTTGATAAGAGTCCGAAGGGGCAGAGATTCTCCAAAAGCAACGACTTCCACACACTCCTTTCCCATCTGAATATGACAACTCGTTCTTTTGGAGAAGAATTCCACTCTCTGCACCACAAAAGTGTGTAGAGCCTTCCATTCGTTTTTCATTTTTCCCTCCCTTGAGATGCACGAGTCTGAGGTACGCTAGCTGTGCTTCGGATGAGGTCGTCAAACGCGTAGAATGTCATTGTTAAAGCATCTTGCATCGCTTGTCTATAAGGTTTACATGCTTTTTCTATCCACGTGAGATCTCCCAACGTTGATAAGTTTAACCTCTTGTATTGGAGGACATTCCGATGATAACCATCATCAATATGTCGCCTAGAGTGAGTTTTTTTTAATTACTATAGCTCTCTCGTCTTCTTCTTTTCTTCTCTCTCTTTCTCTTTATCTGGTTATGCGATGGATCATTTTACTTTTGTTTGATCTGTTTCATCAATGCAGAAATTTTACTGCCACATAGCTTGGCACTCAACTTCCAAAGAATTGACTAATCAATCCAGCACTTAAGTTCGAATGTAGCAAATTTCATGATGTCTTATTTCTTTTTTGAATGGTAGTCACCGTGTCTTTCACCTATAACGACTTTTAAGACTATGTTTATCACCCCACGAACGAATCTTTGCTCGATATACGTGGGTTCAAGGTGGTTTGCATGCATCCACACGAGGATTAGTGTGAAAAGATGCGTCGTTGTGTTGGACTTGAAAATGTGGGGATAACTAACAACACCTTAGGACATGCTCAAAATAAATCGAAGATTGAATCAAAATCAAGATCAACAGGATGTGGTTCTTTTTGGATTACAGCTTTCGAAAATATTATATCCTTTATACAGAAATGTGCTTTCCTAGATGTTCGAATCAATCTGAATTTTCTAAAACTATTATCCAAATAAAGTACAAAACCATAAAAATCGTGTATAGGGTAAATTAGAAAATTATGTTGAATTTCCAATTGTTAATTAAAATTGTATAAAAATTTTTTAAATTACAAATTATCGAAAATGTAGTTCAATTTTGTCAAAAATTATTTCAATTTTTTTTTTTTTGGTGGGGGGTGTGGGCGGCGCGCCGCTCGGCCCCGCGAAATGCCCTCCCCCCGCGCCCCCCCGCCGCACACTCGGAGGGGGGGGCGGCGGGGAGAAGGTAGGAGGGGAGAGGCATAATTGATATGGGAAATTGTTGTTTTTAAAATGGTTATTGTAAATTGATATGGATTGATGTGGAATTTTATTTAAAATGCGTTTTGTATTAAATAAATGTATGAATAATGCCCATTAATGTTAAAATTGGAATTAAATTTGAATAGATATGTCTGAACGCTTGAAACTGGTTGAGACGCTAATACAAATATCCTATGAGGTGGAGGATCAATTCCCCGCACCTATGTTCACTGCAACAAGTACGTCGGATGGTTGTCTCTTTCGAAGATTTCCGATGTCTCAATTGTTGCATTAAGAGGAAATAATAGTGAGTAGACTTAATATGACACCGAGCCTGAAAGTCCTTTTCCATGTCTATTTATGATATTGATAGAATTGTACGTTTTCTTTGTGAAGTGATCGGACCTGGGTGGATCTATTGCCCAAAACATGGTTCGGGCTCTGGCGAGCCAAGCAAGAAGCCAATCGCATGATGAAGTCTACTTGACATCTTGTTGCAAGTATCTGTTGTCGAGTGAATTTCGATGTAGTTAATTAATTCTACTAAGCACAGAAGTTAGATAACTGCTATTGGAATTTCTTTCTTTTTTTCCCTTTTCTGGCAAAATAATTGTCCTGAATAATGTCGCCTCATTCATATGCATTTGCTCCCCATGTAACACAATTAATATCTTCAGAAAAAAGAAAGAAAAATTAGGGATTTCGTTCTTGTAATATCTGGGAGCATCTCATGTGTTATGCTCGAACCTCATGTGCACCATTTGGACCGTTGTTGCTCCAAATTCATGTCATGTTATGGAAGATCATCGGAACTCTGCTTCCCATAAGTCCCATCATGGATTGAACTCGATCATTAGAATAAGAAATATCTGAACCAGATTGTCCACATCCACCCAAACAAAATCTCTATACTATCATGCAAGTGTGCTCGATCAATTATTGAGACCATGGTGGGCCAACAGATTGATGCTGATCCATGCTTCTTTTGTAGTATGTATGTAGAGGCATCATGGCCCTCATTGATAATAATCCCCACAGAAAAAAATCAAGCGAAGTGACTCAAATAGAGGGTTCCTTACAGACGAAGGCATTCACATCAAAAAGAAGCTTTTGTTTCATCACATTGTCAGTTCTATTTAATATGGAAACCTGCATCTGATGTGCTCTTGGCACGAAAGATTTCCTCGAGAAATTAAGCGGGGATAGGTAGAGACAGATCGTATGTATATGAACAGCGAGTCAGCTTGCAGAATTTGACGAATGGGGTGGGTGCACTTGCGAAATAAGTTAGGGACAAAACTTGGCTCTGATAGCATGTTAGAAAATGGAAGGAGATCGCATACCTCGTGATCAACCTCATTATTTATAACTGATCTACTCTATTACGATTTAAAGTGCCAGAATCCAAGGGTTTTGGTTCTTGAGGCTATCAAATTTGTTATTTGGGTGGCTTCTCAGTGCTCATTTGCTGTGTCTTGCCACTATGCTCCTGTATTTTAATGAGTTCATTCATTTATTGATGGAATTGCTACCCGACATGCTCTTCTTTTGACCAAAAGTGGAAAACTTCCTGTTCCCATATGTGTTCCTCATCACACCATGACACCATATACAGTGAAAATTAGGTAAATATAAATACACAGATGGTGAAGCTACACAAAAAGGTTTGTCCTCGAGTCCGAAATGATGATAGCACTGAAAGGTCTCACCACACCAACCTTCCTCTTTACGACTTTGAGCTCATCTGCACGTGCAGTGCTTTGCGTCCTCTTTTTCAAAGTAAATGTTTTATTTTGCCTTTGTCTGTTTTAACCAAATGACAGACCAAGAACTCATTAATCTCACGTATGGAATAAGATATGAGCAAGAGGGAGAAAATGTGCATAGGCTAAAGGCAAGCTTAATTACATTTGATCGCTTTGACAATCTAACTTGTGTCCTACATCTATATCACGTGAACTCGTTTGTTTCTTTGATGTACTAAGCTTGCGGCGTAACTTTAAGCTGCATAAAGTCTTACAGATCATGATTATCTGAACTATGGTTTATTTTGTCTGAGCATAATTGATCCTGTAAGTTAACATGGCATGAAAAGCGGAAGTGTCCACTCTTGTGAAAAGAGCCAGCGAGAGACGTGGAGACCACCGAAAGGGTCCCAAACATTCGACAGTGAAACACAACTTTATAGCTTTTACTGCCCTATCAATATGAGAGAGAAAGTGCAGCTTAGCAGGATTAATCAAGGAAGGGTAGGTCTCTCTCTTTCACCATCCGGGTCGCTCAAATCCAAGGTAGCGGGGGTTCAATGGACCGAACATGACGTGATATCTACCTTATTCCCACTCGATGGTGACAAACCTAGCTTTTGCTTAGTTTATAGCAAAATCAATCTCTAGATATTCTTTGAGAGGTCTTAACTTTTTCAAATGTCTTAGTCTGTTCAATTTCTCCTCTCCTTTTCTGCTTTTCACATGATGATGTCTCCAAAAAGATCTCTCTCTCCCTCTCTCTCTCTCTCTACCAGTCTTTGGAGCCGATGGGATGGCAAAAGTGGAGAGCTGGGGCAGTCAAACGTTAGTTATGCGGGGGCACTGCTAACGCCATGCAATAAAGCGCACAGTTGTGGATGGATACATTTGACTAAGCGCTTGGTGGTGCATCGATGTCGTTATACATACACTACCTCAGCAAGGGAGCTTATGCTTGAGCCTTCTTTCGTTCAACCTGACTGACCAGCTGGAAGAAGGAAGCCATCATGGTTCCTGACTCACTGTACTGCTGCAGCATTTAAAATCGTCTTCAGGCAGTGGGCTCGTGGCTCGTCGGTGCTTAACTATACTCCCAACTTTTTGACCAACGTACACGCCTTTGGCACTTCATGTTTTCTCCCTTAGTAGACCTGACTTGATCTGATGTCGAATTTGATGCCAGACTTAGGGCTGTTTGGTTCGAACTTTAGGGAAATGCATTTGGCAAAATGCAAATACGCATTTGAGTTAAAGGGGTTTTTCGAAATGCAAGTAGTGTTTGGTAACGTGTCTTTTAAAATCACATTTGGAAACAACTTTGGTCTAAATACCGTTTGGTAAAATCTTAATTTTGTAAAGGACTTTTGCTAATATTTTTTTAAAAAAAAATTTTGGCTGAACACCACCGCATGGCATATTGTCCGCGGGCCAGTGCGCTGTCGCCGCGGCCCGGCCTCGCTGAGGTTGGTCGACCTCCGGCGACCACGCTGGGTCGCAGAGCCTCGAGGGCGGCGCTCGAGGTCGCGCGACCCGGATCCGGGTCGCGACCCGCCGCCCGAGGCCGGGCGACCCGAGCGTGTCCCAGCAGGTCAGCGACCTCGGCGGCCACGCTTGGGGTCGGGCGACCTCCGCGACAGCCTCCGGGGGTCGCGACCCGGCGGCCATTGCTGGGTCGGCCAGACCTCGAGCCGTGCTCGGGAGCGCGACCCGAGCGCCGCCGAGGTGCGAGCCGGCCACGCAGCGGAGGTCGGGCGACCGCCGTCTGGGGTCGGCCAGGCCTCGGCTGACTCTGCCTCGGGGTTGGCAAGCCCGGCAAGCCGCACCTGGGGTCGGCCGACCTCGAGCGGCGGTCGCCGAGAATCTGCCAGACCACGAGGCGGCGGTCGCCGGACGTCGGCCGACCCTCGGCCGCAGCGGTGGTCGGACCTCGGGCGGCGGTCGTCGGTCTCGGTCGAGAAGATGAACGGTGCGCGTGACAATACACATTTGCATTAGAAAATGCAAGTCCCCAAAGCTCCTCCATCCCTCCATTCAGCCAAAGTCCCTTAGGGAGCTTTGGAATCTGCATCTCCTCAAGCTTGCAAAAAAATTGCCAAACAAGTTTGCATTTGCCTAAGGCGCCTTTAGACCACAGCGACATTTAAATCTTGAACCAAAGCAGAGCCCTTAGGCTTAGAAGAGGCCTTGCATGGGTTCATATGTTTGGGGGATGGTTTGATGGGTCTTCTTGTTTCGTCATTGATCGTCATATTTACATGGTCATATTTACATGCGTTGCGTCGCTTAGTCGCGTCGAAAGTTCGAATACTCTGTGCTTTGGAAAAAAATTTAAAAAGAATCTATGAACAGAAAAAAAACAACTGTCACACGGACAGGGCCTGGCCTGAAGGGGGTGATGTTTGCACAGATCAGATCGAATGTGATCATATTGGGCCTGGAGTTCCATGGTACAGACAGTCAGGCTCTTCATATTGGCGTTGAAGTTCGTGGGTTCTAGTACTTTGCAAAGCCTTCTCTTCATGGGCTGCGATCTGTTTAGGGTTTCTATATCTCCTTTGGCAAGGCAACTCTCTCCTTCTCCAACGGATACGGAAGTTATCCTTTTGCCTTTTTCTTCATAGGTTTCTCAACAATTCAACCGATGTGATATTGATTTGGTTAAGAAATTGGTCCACCAGTGTGTTGCCTCAGCACTCTCCCAACTTGGACACACACCCTCGGTCTAATCTAATCAGCAAGAGTAGGTACTCGTAGTCGCTGCCATCGCTCGATCATTTTATTAGAGTGAAAACTCGTATGCTTTCATGTCATTATAGGTGACCGATTTATAAAAGCTCAAACCGATAAAAGAAAATATATGTATTTCCATTGCAATTAACATCAGCCATTTTGTCTTATCATAAGGAAGAGGCTTGAATTTCCATATTTAGAGCGATTTTTCTGCTGCAATTAGGGGGAGAGAGTGAGCGTGCATGGGAGTTTTTTACTGGCCATAAGAACCCACCATGTTTTGGGCAGGCGGAGATGGAAAAATTCTTACATGCACCCGATCATGTGAGCCGACTAATGTCAGCCATTAAATATTACGGGCTTCACGTGAAATATACATGTTCTAATGGCTGAAATGGAGTGGGAGTAGGTTCACACGCATCGGCTACGTACGAGGCCTTCTCCGCGAAGACCGAGAAGAAGGGAAAACGATAGACAATTAGCTTTTCTTCAAACACACACTGAACGAACCCACGTGGGCCGGGCCCGATCAAGCGCGACTTGTCCCGCAATTCACCTCCTCCTGCTCCTCTCGCTCCAATCGCGCAATTGCAGCTCAGCCTCACGAACGATACGTTAACCAAGCTGTTCTTGCCCTCCTCGTTCATCGCGATGAAACGCATGATCCAAGTGAAATGGAATAGTATATGCATGTCACGTCTAAATACATACCACCCCATTAACTTACATGAATCCTTCCTCAGACCCACCTCCAAGCCCGCCTCGCCAATATAAAGTGCCCGCGCACGCTCGTCCTCCTCATCATTCACTGCCATCAAAACCAGCTCAAGCTGTCAAGCTCATTCTCATCAACTCCTCCTCCCAAAAAAACAAAGACCAAACCATGAAGCTCCTCTTCGCGTTGCTGCTCTGCTGTCTTATCCTGACCTCCATCTTCATGGAGCCTGCCCTCGCCAAGCCAGGTGAGCCTCCAAGACTACCCACTTTATAATATCGGTGATCTCTGCTCTTGCTAATTAGAGTCGACATTTTGATCCGGGTCTCGTCACCCGAGCGCTAGCTAAGCATACTCAATAAGAAGCGTGTCAATATTCTAAACAGTGTGTACACAAAAGCACTGAGCATTATTCACAATGTAGTTTCTTCATGGTGGTGTGACTGGTGGGGTGATGAATTTGTTTTCTTTCTTTAAGTTTTCTCAATGGTTGGTGCTTGTGCGTAATGTGCAACAGGGTTCTGCGAGAGCAAGTGCAGGGCGAGGTGTGCAAAGGCGAAGAAACAGGTGAGGTGTGAGAAGTACTGCAACATCTGCTGTGCCGAGTGCAAGTGCGTGCCCTCCGGCACTTACGGCAACAAGCACCAGTGCCCTTGTTACCAAAAAATGAGGAACTCCAAGGGCCAGCCCAAATGCCCTTGAGACTTGGTAATTCTTAAGGACAGCTCCTCTTGTCCTCTTCTGTACAAGACACCTTAGCCAGCCAGCTACCCAGTAATATTATGTGCGACTCTCTGAGATGTTGCTCAATAATAACAAGAACAATAAGGACCATGTACTGTCCTTGGTCATTCTACTACGCTGTTGTTGTCACCTCTGTGACTGAGCATTTGTGAAAGTTTAATAGCAGTTTAATTGTGCTGTTTCTCTCTCTCTCTCTCTCTCTCTCTCTCTCTCTCTCTCACACACACACAAGTCTGTACTGTCTCCATTCTAAGCTTCTCTCTTCATTCTTGATTTGCCTACCCAAAATCTTCAAAAAGCACCATTGCTGCTGGCTTTATCTTCTTCATATCGTCCATGTGAATGGTGGGCGACTGTAAATTTGAAATGGTCCCCATATCGCATTCGTCTATAGTCGTATATAATAATGCTGAGAATGAATAAGTGCCATATGTTGGCTACTGCACTTTGATGTCAGAAAATTTTATCAAAGGAAGAAACAACTCCACCGTATACTAGTTTAATCTTTAGATGAGTCGGATTCAATCGTATACATTGAATTTCCTTTCGCACAAATAGAGATTGCTTGATTGTTATCGTCAAGAGAAGATATAGGGAACAACTTTGATTAGACATTACGCCTTATTTGATATGAGGGAGCATCATTATCCCTATTTTCCCTTCTAAGAACACCAAAATAGCCCATTCACGGTTCATACTGCCATGCTGCAAACAGTGCATATATCTAATCTCAACGTTGAAGATAACCAACAAAATATGCTCTCTCTCTCTCTCTCTCTCTCTCTCTCTCTCTCTCTCTCTCTCTCTCTCTCTCTCTCTCTTTTGAGACTGAAGTTCAAAGTCAGTGGAAGAACAACAAAGGAAGCAGCCAGTCGATAAGGTAGCTACCAGGTTGACATGTCCTAGGAACATTCTAGGACCCGGGAAGTTGGCAGGATTATTCCATTAGATGCATGTGCCTGTCATTGGATCTTGTACACTGCTGACACGTGAAAAACTATAAGAAATGGAAGACCATTACTAATCAGCACTACTGCCAATTAACATCTTCATCAAGATTAAAACTGTGGGATTCCCATTCAAGTCGTATTCTTTTCATTTACTTCCACCGTACCATATTATCAAAGTGGCATTCATAGTAAGGAAATTCAGAATTGTCTTTTATTAAATAAAAGCATACAATACGTGACAAATCAGTCAGGAGCTTACGACTATAGATAGTCTGAATTATGCATTTGGTGTTGGGCTCGTGTTTTATTAGGTCATGAATCCGCGGTCAATATGGGTTACCTATTTTGTAATGAAAAAAAAACACTCATACTGTATTCTTAATAAAGCACACGAATTTGTTCCTTGGTTGTAAAGCGGACCACTCACAAGGTTAATAGAAGCTTTTATTATTATTTTTATGTACTTGGGTTCTATTTGTTTTGCAGAAAATGTGACATTTCTGGAAAATATTTTCCAAAAAGTCATTTTCCAGTCTTTGGCTAAAACCTGAAAATGAACTGGAAATTATTTTCCGCCATTTGGTATGAAAAATTTGATTTAATTTTCCTAAATAAACATATACTATTAGGGCGCTAGCAACTTGCGCATGGGTAGCCGAGACACCGAGTACAGGCATTAGAGTCTTAGGTCCGGCCTCAATGGACCCCGACCTGAGCGCTAGGTAACAAGGAATGAGCACCAGGGTCTCGGGCCCAACCTTGACGGACTCGAGCGTGGGCACCAGGGTCTCGGGCCTGGCCTTGATGGACCCAAGCACGGCCTTTGTGGACTCGGGCCAGGGCATTGGGGATCAGAGCTCAAGTATTGGGATCTTGCGCTCGGCCTTTGTGAACTCAAGCCCAAGTACCGGGGCATTGAGAACGGGCACTAATGTTTTGGGCTCGGCCTCGATGGACTTGGGCCCGAGCATCGGGGTCCCAGGCTTGGCCTTCATGGACTCAGGTGCGGGCGCTAAGAATTCGGGCACAAGCAAAGTGGTCATGGGCCCGGCCTCAATGGACCCATGGCAGATTCTCTTTCGTGGGCATTAGCAAGAACAAGGAAACTCGCAAATCAAGCACATGCCACTGACGAACTCGGACAAATCCACACAAACGCCATAACAAAAGCAAAATCAATCAGCTCAGCACAAAGAATTCACCCCTTGTAAAAAACAGGGGTCGTTCTTTTGCCTTTTGGCAAAACAGGGGTCTATGAAGGGCTTGAAGCAGAGACAGCAGCGTCGAAGGGCTAACTATTAATGGCTTATCAACCATCTTCTCATGTGACTTGTCGGTAGAATGAAAAAAGCTTCCCCAGATTGGCAAAGGCACTCTCTCCTTCTCCAACGGATTCGGAAGCCATTCTTTTGCCTTTTCTCAACAATTCAAGCCGAGATGATTTTGATTTGGTTAATAGATTGATCCACAATCGTGTTTCTTAATACTCACGGTCGCAACTAGGGGTGATCGTTAGGTTCGGGGGTCGAAGGGTCCGCTAACTATTAATGGCTTAGACCCTGTTTTCAACCATCTTCGATTCAGGGTCTACCCGATAACCTATTTTTTTTTTTTCTCTGGTTTCAGAAATTTGGAGCAAAATAAACAATCCACAAGCACCTTCTTCCTAAACACCAAAATCCCAACCCATCCCCTCGGAAACTTCTCGAAGTAAAAGAGCGGCTTTGATGAAGGACACGACGGGCGGTGACAACAAATCTAAAGATCCATGTTGTCCCTCTCCAATCCTGCAAATCATCCTCACCAGCCAGGCTATTCAAACACAAGGCTTGGTTAATCAAAGAAGGGGTTTGGTCTAGGGTCATCTCAACTACTTTTTTGGCAAAGGGGAAGATGGGAACATCAGCCACCGTTGCCGATTCACTTCGAGAACAGAACAAAGCACAAGATTTCAAGCGGCGGCAAATAATCCAAGGTCCGGGGTCACCGAAACTCGGACTTAGGCAAGGGGAGAGTATCGAAATACAATATGCGACATGCACGAACATTCTATTCCCTTCCCTTTTCGAGCTCTTTCACCACACTTCCTCGTCACAAGCGATTCGATCGTTCTCGTCTCTTTTCCACATCGATTAGCCATCACACGTAAATGCGCGCTTTAAAAAACAAGGTAGTAGTGGGAGCGGGATCGGGGGGCAGTGAGTGACCTTCGCGGCGGCGTAAGGGTTGGATGAGCCGGGTTATGGCGGCGAGGTGGCGGCGCCGCAGCGATGAGCGGCGACAAGGGGCGACAAGCTGGGTTCCGGCAACGAGCGGCGTTACGGCGACTCAGGTAGCGAGTAGCTGTGGCGATGAGTTGGGTTGCGGCGAGCAGCCGCGGCGACGAGATGCTACGAGCTGGGTTGCGGCGACGAGCTGGGTTGCAGCGACAAGAGGCGACGAGCAGCAGCGGTGATGAGAGGCGAGCAGTCGCAGCGACGAGTTCTCGCGAGCAGACTGAGAAGGGCCAGAAGAAAGGGGACTCGCAAACTGGAAGAGGAGGGAGCGATTGAGAGTAACAAATGCTAGGGTTTTTTTACAGTAACTTACAATCGGTTCTAAAACCAGTCCGGGTGGGTTTTCACTTAGACCCGGGAACCGGACCTGTTCCAACCGGTTCCGAAAAAATAGAACTGTTTCCCGGACCGGTTCAAACAGGAACTGGTTCCCGGACCTGTTTTTCGGGTGGGCCGGTTCGGTTCCCGGGTAAATCCAGTCCGGTTGCACACCCCTAGTCACAACTATCATTCTTCCTATCGTTTTACCAGAATGAAAACTCGTATAGTTTTATATCATTACAAGCGATCGATTTTCAAAACCTCAAATCGTTATAAGAAAATATATGAATTTCCTCTACGATTGACGTCATCCATTTTGTCTTATAAAAATGAAGAGGCTTGAATTTCCTTATTTACAGCAAATTTTCTGCTAGATTTGGGGAGAAAGAGAGAGAACGTGATGTTTTTACAGGCCACTAGAACCTACCATGTTTTTTTTTTGGTAAGTAGAACCTACCATGTTTTGGGCATACGAAAACAAAAAAATTCTTGGGAAAAGTGCTGAATAAGTCCTAAACCTTTTGGGGTAGTGCCAATTTAGTCTTAAACCTATTTTCGGTGCCAATTGAGTCCTAAATCTTTTGATATAGTGCCAATTCAGTCCTTTTGACTGGATTTTACTGACGTGGACGTCGGCTGGCCGGTCACCGACACTGACGTGGATAAAATTTAATAATATTTTAATATTTTTTTGAATTTTTGTTTTCTTCTCCCTCTTCCTTCAACCGCTCGCCGGAGCGGCGACCGGCCGGAGGCCAGAGGCCGGTAAGGTCGACCTCGCCAGCCTCGGGCGAGCCTTGCCATGGCTAGGTGAGCTGGGCGAGGCTCGCCCGGCCCTCGCCATGGCCGGGCGAGGGTCGACCTCGCCCAGCCGCCGGCGAGGCTCGCTCGACCCTCGCCGAGGTCGCGAGCCGGGCGAGGCGGATTCGGCGAGGCTGGGCCTCGCCCCCAGGCGAGGCTCGACCTCGCCGGATCCGCGAGGTCCGGCCTCGCCATGGCCGGGCGAGGTCGACCTCGCCCGGCCTCACGGCCTCCGGCAGTCGCCGCTGGCATAGCGGTTGAAGGAAGAGGGAGAAGAAAAAAAAATTCAAAAAAATATTATTAAATTTTATCCACGTCAGCGCCGGTGACCGGTCGCCGGTGGGCCGACGTCCACATCAGTGAAATCCGGCCAAAATGACTGAATTGGCACTATATCAAAAGGTTTAGGACTCAATTGGCACAAAAAATAGGTTTATGACTAAATTAGCACCACCCCAAAAGGTTTAGGACTTATTCAGCACTTTTCCCAAAAATTCTCCTATGTACCCAATTATGTGAGCCCACTAAGGTTGCGTTTTACAATCATTTTGCCAAAGGCCTTTGGCCCTTTAATCTAAAGGCCATTGGTCAAAAGTTAAGGTGTTTGGTAAATTGTTTTGGAGAGTTTTGGGAAAATGCATTGTATTTTTGAAATCCTTTATCTCAAGGCGAATCCGTAGGAGCTTTGAGATTTACCATTTTCAAAATGCTAATAAATTTATTTTTTCAATTTCGCCATCGCTAATATTTCGAAATTCTAGATATGCCCTCATCACCTCACGCGACATCATCGACAATGCCAAATTTGGTGCTGGCGAGCCTCGCCTAAGGTCATGCGACCCCGTGCGGCTCTCGTATGAAGTCATGCGACCTTAGACGAGGGCCGCCGATGCCAGATTTGGCTCACCAGCAGCCTAAGTCCTTCGTTGGGGTTTTTTTTTTAATTAGCAAAAGTCCTTCAAATTAGTTGGTTTCAACTTCTCAATATACACTTTTAAATTACACTTTACCAAATATCATTTTTATTTTTAAGAACCCATTTTAATCTAAAGTCCTTTGCAATTCCCAAAAGTTTTCCACCCCACTAAACGCATCCTCAAATCAGCCATTTGATACACAGAAACCATTCCAACAAATCTTCTTCCCACCCTAAATCCAGTACCCTACTTCCATTCTAAATCCTCACCCTTTTCTTATCTTCTACATTTTATCCCTGAATCATAATTCTGAGCATCCTCTGTTTACTTCAACCACTCTTCACCCGTTATTACAACCCTTTACTGAAAATCTCCAGCCCACTTCATGGAGGAGTCAGAGGAGTCTGAAATTCGTCTTGCTGCCTTGTGTAAGAGACTAGGAGGACTGTGGTCGAAGAGGAAGATTAAAGCAGTGGATGAGGCGATTTCTGCAGAAAAGATAAAGGAATGTCAGTTATCTTTAATCGGCCAACTCTACCAAAACCCTAAGATAAACATTCAGGCATTTCAGAATACAATGCGTAGGGTTTGGAAAATGGAGAATGTGGAAATATCTCTGATCGCCCCAGGCATCTTTGAGTTTCGATTCTGGTCGGAAACGGATAGAGATAAGGTTCTCGAGCAAGGCCCTTGGTCTTTTGCGAATCATCTACTCTTGCTCAAATCGTGGGAGTCGGACACTCCTCCTGCTTGTTACAACTTTAAGTCGTGCACGTTTTGGGTCCATATACATGGATTGCCGACAGAATGGATCTCCGAGAGTGTCATAGAAAAAGTGGCAGAAGAAATAGGTATTGTTTCAGATATTAAAATTGAAACCAGGGGGTATACAGCCTACAAAGTAGGAAAGGCAAGAGTTTCTGTGGACATCTCGGCTCCTCTTTTACCGGGATCGATGTTTAGCAACAGGGGGAAGAAGTTGTGGCTGGACTTTAGGTACGAAAGACTCCCTCACTATTGTTATTCATGCGGAAGATTGGGACATTATGCACAACATTGTGGAGAAGTTCCTTTCACCGAAGACCGTTTTGCAAATAGGAAAGAATTACCCTTTGGTTCATGGTTAAAGGCGGAGGCAAACGAATTCAGCCCCTACTGGGATCTATTTTATGGAAAGAAGATAGAAGAACTAATGGAAGAAGATGTTATACCTGAGACACCAGAGAATTCAAGGCAGCTAGTGGTGTATGAGGGTACTCCGGAGATGGAAAGCAGCAGTAGTGCCGCCGCAAAGGGCAAGAAAGTCATGATGGAGGAAATAATTAGGGAAGACATTGACAAGACAATGCTGGATCCTGCATCAGAATTGCAAGGTGGCACAGGGGTACTTTTAGCTTGTAACCAGCAAGGACCATTGGTTGTCGAGAAACTGAAAAAATGCAAAGGTCACAAGGCTAACATGAGTAAGAAGCAGAAGAGGTATTCCCCATATAAATTGCAGCTATCTAGCAAAGAGGCGTTAGATGAGAAGCGGTTATTGGACACTCCCATCCAGACTATGGAAGAAGCTCAAATTCGGGCTTTGGTGGCTAGCCCTAATAAGCCACCGGGATACAAATGAGGTTAATCTGTTGGAATTGTCAGGGGTTGGGCTCACCCCTGACAATTCAGGCTATTCGAGCCCTCGTGGCTCAAGAAAAGCCCGCTATCCTGTTCTTAATGGAGACGAAAAATAAAGAAGACGTCGTTAAAAGAATGCAGCGAAAATTACAGTTTCGAGAATGCTTCATAGTGAACCCAATTGGCTTGGCTGGGGGATTAGCAGTATTTTGGAATGAACAAGTTACTATTTCTATTGACTCTAGCTCCACATATTTTGTTGATGTGCTTTGTGTTATGGGAGAGAACAAACAGAAAATGCGTATTACCTTCGTCCATGCACCTACTGATTTTCAAGACAGATTAAGACTGTGGGACAGAATCCAACAAATTAGTCGCTTAAACCGAGATCCTTGGCTGTGTGTTGGAGATTTTAATGAGATCCTGTATCACTGGGAGAAAGTTGGGAAGAGATTGGCAGAGAATTACAGAAGTAAAGCCTTCCACGACTTTTTGGATGCTTGCGCTCTTATGGATTTAGAAAGCAAGGGTTGTACGTATACCTGGGCCAATAATAGAGAAGGGGAAGCTTTGGTTAAGGAGAGACTGGATAGAGCGGTGTGCAACATAGACTGGAGGGTTTCTTACCCTAATGCGGAGGCATTTGCGTTACCTGCTATTGGGTCGGATCATAGCCCAATTTTATTGAATCTGTTTCCGGAGTATGGTAAACGAAAAAAGGAATTCAAATTTGAAGTATTTTGGATCGAAGATGAGGAGTATGGGCAGATAGTATCAGACTCTTGGAATTCTTTTCAAGGAGAGTCAGTGGCTTTATCAGTTAGATTGACAAAGGTGGCTGACAAGTTGGTTGGGTGGAGTAAGAGGAGGTTTTCAAATGCTGAAAAACAAATTTCGTTGTTGAAAAAAGAGATACAAGAGATTACAAATAGTCCAAACCTAAACTTTGATAAAGAAAGGTTGAATTGGCTGAAAATGGAAGTGGAAAGATTGTGGAGACAAGAGGAGGTTTATTGGGGAATGAGATCCAGGATTAATTGGCTTAAATGGGGGGACAAAAACACGAAATATTTCCATGCAACTACAGTGCAGAGGAGGCAGCGAAACAAAATAGCAATGCTGAAAAATGAAAATGATGAATGGATTCGAGAGCCCAACCAGTTGAAACACATGACAGTCAACTATTTCAAAGAGCTATACACTACAACAGGGGCTCGAGATTTCAAACCAGTACTCGATCAGATCCCATGCTTAATAAGTGAAGAGGTCAACCAGGATTTAACCAGGGAAGTAACTCTTGAGGAGGTTACTAAGGCAACCTTCCAGCTAGGTGCCTTAAAGGCCCCCGGACCAGATGGCTTGAGTGGAAAATTTTTTCAATATCACTGGAAGGACATCCAAAATGAAGTATTCAGGGAGGTAAGACTTTTGTTTAGTTCAGGAAATCTTAACCCTGAATTAAATAAAACCTTTATTACCCTCGTTCCTAAAGTTCTAATCAGTTTCGCCCTATAAGCTTGTGCAATTTCGCTTACAAAATCATTTCAAAAGTTATGGCTAATAGATTGAAACCGTGGCTCCCGAAATTCATAGCCAAGGAGCAAAGCGCCTTTGTTAGTGAGCGACAAATTCAAGACAATATATTGATAGTACAGGAGGTACTCCATCAGTTACGAATTCGAAAGAGAAAAAAGAAATTCCATGCAGTGCTCAAATTAGACATGAAAAAGGCGTATGACCGGGTGGAATGGGATTTTCTGGAAGCGAGTATGCTGAGAATGGGATTCTGCGAAACATGGGTCTCCTGGATTATGAAATGTGTCTCCACAGTCTCATACAGTGTTAAAATGAATGGGGACCCTTTACCTACCTTTCATCCTACTAGAGGAATAAGGCAAGGTGACCCCCTTTCTCCCTACCTCTTCATCATTATGGCTAATGTGCTATCTGTTTTGCTGCAAACAGAGGTGGGAAATGGAAGTATCAAAGGGATCAAATTAAACCACTTCTGCCCAACTTTATCTCACCTACTTTTTGCGGATGATTTAATACTCTTCCTTGCAGGAAAGATTGTTGAGTGTCAAAATGTAGCAGCGGTTCTAAATCAATACTGTTTTGCGTCTGGACAAGCACTAAATCTGAACAAGTCAGGTATGTTTTTCAGTAAAGACTGCCCAAGGGAATTGAGAAGCAATATGACATACGAGCTGAGAGTTCCTGAGATAGAGAAGACAGGGAAGTATTTGGGAATACCATCCGACTGGGGCTGCTCAAAAAAACAAATGTTTGCTTGGATCCTCGATAGAGTCAATAAGAAACTGGAAGGTTGGAAAGAAAATTTCTTATCTAAGGCAGGGAAAGAAATCCTCCTTAAAACAGTGGTGCAGGCTCTACGCAAAGATGCAATGTCCATATTCAAAATCCCCCTATCCATTTGTCGAACTATTGAAAGGAAAATTGCACTTTCTGGTGGAAAAATTCGAAAACGGGAGGGGGTTACACTGGAAAAACTGGGACACTCTTAAAGCAAGAAAGGATGAAGGTGGCCTAGGTTTTCGAGACTTAATTACATTTAATGAGGCAATGTTGGGGCGACAGGCATGGAGACTAATCCAGAATCCATACTCTCTCTGGAGTCGGCTTTTTAAAGGATTGTATTATCCTCATACAGATTTATTACATGCAAAAAAAGGTTCAAGTCCCTCATGGGGATGGCGAAGCTTGATTTTAGGCCGTAATGTAATCAGTCAGTCAATTCGATGGGTGGTTGGAAATGGTGAGAAAATCAACATAAGGGAAGATAAGTGGCTGTCAAGAGGCTTCATTGGAGGGCCTGCGAACAGAGAGGATCCAACTCGGGTATCCGAACTAATGGTCAGGGAGGAAGCCAAATGGAATGAAAACAGGGTGAGAGAGGTGTTTGACTTTGAAACAACCCAGGAAATTTTAGCCATTCCCATTAACCCCCAACTTCCAGAGGACAAATTGGTGTGGACACCAACCAAAACAGGGCAGTTCACAGTGAAGAGTGCGTATAACAACATCAAAGCACAAAAAGAAACACCAAATCAGAATCAAGCTTCAACGTCGTACCAAACCCCCAGAGAATTATGGAATAGAATTTGGAAGGCAAAATTACAACCCAAAATCAGATTTTTTCTTTGGCAAGTTTGCCAAAACGCCCTCGCAACTAAGGAGAATCTGGTTCGAAGACGGATCATACCTGAAGCCACTTGCTTGATATGTCAACAGCATCCAGAATCCATAGAGCATCTGTTTCTGCTATGCCCCTGGACTCAGCAAATATGGAACAACCCATCAGTAAATATTGAAGTTGATAGGTACGCAGTGACTCGGATAGAGGAATGGTTGCTGAATTTTAAACATACCTCTGTATCCTTTGAGCTCCTTGCTTTATTATTATGGCAGATTTGGAAATCTCGGAACGACTTGGTATTCAGAGCTCATAAGTTAAACCCCCAACACATCGTCATCTCAGCCATTGCCACGGAGAAAAACCTCAGCAAATGGTCAGAGAAAACGAATGGAAAACTGCAAACACAGAAAGAATTACCTCCGATTTGGACCCCTCCTCCTCGGGGTGATTAAAATTAACGTAGATGGGTCTTTTGTTGCCGAAACAAGGGAAGGGGCCATTGCGTGTGTATGTCGAGACAAGGGGTATCTTGATAGATGGGTTTGCTCGATCGGTATGCGGCTTCGGCGATTGGGCGGAGGCGCGCTGTACTTGAAGCCCTAAAACATTTTGAAGCAAAAAGTGAACGAAGATCGTGTTAGAGACAGATCGCGATCGGGTGGAGATGATGAGCGAGGAGCAGATCAAGTGAGTTGGGAAGCTTATGCATTGATCACCGAAGCCCAGGCCCGCGCAAAGCTATTCAGCAATTTAAAGATGACCCATTGCCGAAGAGAAAGTAATCAAGTTGCGGATTGGGTCGCCAAAGCCCACCGTAATAAATATTTACCGGTTAATTGGATCGCTTATCCCCCTACTTGTCTTTTGGAATTGCTTTGTTCTGAAGCCTGTATATTGTCGCAAACTTTTACTTGAATGAGTATAAGATATAATGTTTGCTGACCAAAAAAAAAAAAATCAGCCATTAAATATTACGGGCCCCCATGTAAATCCCACGTGATCTAATGGCTGAAATAGAATAAGGTTCACGGCTTTGCTCCCCGCAAAGGACCAAGTAGAAGGCAAAAACGTTTGTGAGACAAATAGCTTTTTCGTCAGAGACGCACTGCGCGAACCACGTGGGCGGGGCCCGATCCAGCGCGACTTGACTTGTCCCACAAATCACCTCCTCCTACTCCACTCGCGGCAATTGCAACTCAACCTCACCGACGATTTCATTAACCAAGCTGTTCCTTGCCTTCCTCGTTCATCGCGAAGGAAACGCATGATCCAAGTGAAATAGTATAGTAAAAATAGTAATGTCACGTCTAAATACATATCGCTGCATTAACTCGCATGAATCGTTCCTCAGACCCCACCTCCAATCCCACCTCGCCAATATAAGTGCCATCAAAACCAGCTCAAGCTCATTCTCATCAACTCCTCCTCCTCCTCCTCCTCCCAAAAGAAGCAGAAGACCAAACCATGAAGCTCCTCTTCGCATTGTTGCTGTGCTCTCTTCTCCTGACCTCCATCTTCATGGAGCCTGCCCTCGCCGCCCCAAGTGAGCCTCCAAAACTACCCGCTTTATAATCTTGGCGATCTCTGCTCTTGCTTGTTATGGTCGACATTGCGATCCGGGACTCGTCACCTGAGCGCTAGCTAAGCATGCTCAATAAGAAGTGTGTCGATATTCTAAGCAGTGTGTACACAAAAGCACTGAGCATTATTCACAATGTAGTTTCTTCATGGTGGTGTGACTGGTCAGGTGATGAATTTGTTTTCTTTCTTTAAGTGTTCTCAATGGGTTAGTGCCTGCGCGTAATGTGTAACAGGGTTCTGCGAGAGCAAGTGCAGGGCGAGGTGTGCGAAGGCGAAGGTGAAGGCGAGGTGCGCGAAGTTCTGCAACATCTGCTGCGCCGAGTGCAAGTGCGTGCCCTCCGGCACTTACGGCAACAAGCACCAGTGTCCTTGTTACAAAAAAATGAAGAACTCCAAGGGCAAGCCCAAGTGCCCTTGAGACTTAGTAATTCTTAAGGGCAGCTCCTCTTGTCCTCTTCTGTACAAAGACACCTTAGCCAGCTAGCTACCCAGTAGTATTATGTGGGACTCTCTGTGATGTTGCTCAATAATATCGAGAATAAGAAGGGCCGTGTACTGTCCTTGGTCATTGTACTGTACTGTTGTAGTCACCTCTGTGACTGAGTATTTGTGAAAGTTTAATAGCAGTTTAATTATGCTGTCTCTCTCTCTCTCTCTCTCTCTCTCTCTCTCTCTCTCTCTCTCTCACACACACACACACACACACACACACACACACACAACTCTGTACTGTCTCCATTCTAAGCTTCTCACTTCATTGTTGATTTGCCCTACCCAAAATCTTCCAAAAGCACCATTGCTGCTGGCCTTATCTTCTTCATACCGTTCTTGTGATGGTGGATGACTGTAGATTTGAAGTGGTCACCACAGCGCCGTTCGTCTCTTGTCGTATATAATAATGCTGAGAATGAAAAAGTAGCCATATGTACTGTACTTTTTTTTTTTTGGTCAAAGGAAGAAACATTTCCGTGGTATATCTTTAGACGAGTCGAATTCAACTATATGCATTGAATTTCCTTTCGCACAAATAAAGATCGGTTGATTGTTATCGTCAAGGGAAGATGTAGGAAACAACTTCGATCAAACGTTACGCCTTGTATGATACAACGGGGCATCATTATCCATGTTTTCCTTCTAAGAACACCAAAATAGCCGGGTTCACACCGCCATACTGTAAACACTGCATATATCTGATCTCAACGTTGAAGATAACCTACAAACTCTCTCTCTCTCTCTCTCTCTCTCTCTCTCTCTCTCTCTCTCTCTCTCTCTCTCTCTCTCTCTCTCTCTCTCTCTGTTTTGAGACTGAAGTTCAAAGTCGATGGACGAACAACAAAAGAGACAGCCAGTGCCTAGGCACTTGCTAGGACTAGGGAAGTTGGCTAGGATCATCCCATTGCATGCATGTGCCTCTCATTGGATCTTGTACACTGCTGACACGTAAAAAACATTAAAGAATGGAAAACCAATACTAATTACCGTTAAGTGCCAGCTAACATCTTCATCAAGATTAAGGTAGTAGGGTTTCCCATGCAAGTCGTATTCTTTTCATTTACTGCCACTATACCATATTATGAAAGTGGCATTAATCCTAAGGAGATCCAAAATTGTCTCTTATTAAGAAAAAGCATAAGACACAATAACAGATTGGTCATGTGCTTACAACTATAGAAAGTCGGAAATATGCATCTGGCATTGTGCTCGTGTTTTATTAGGTTATGAGTCCGCTGTCGATCCGCTTATGATGGGTTACCTTTATTGTAATGAAAAAACACTCGTGTCGTATCCTTAATAAAGCACGCGAATTCATCCCTTAATTATGAAGCAGATTGCTCACAAGATTAATCGAAGCTTTTATTATTAGTTTTATGTACTTAGACCTGAATTACAAACGAAGGCTCTAGAATCCCTATAGGCACGCCACGACCATGTATGCACATGATCTTCCTCTTCAACCTTTTTCTATGTTTGCAGTTGCTATAAATGTGGCTTTGGTTTTTGAAACTTCTCAATTTTTTTACATTGGTGTCTAATCAGCAGGGGATGCCGGGTCAGCGTCATTTATTGAATTTTTAACATTAATTAGTATTTTTGTTCATGAGTTGACCAGGAATTGCGATAATTTAAGGGTTGTGGATCTCGACAGAGACGCAAAACCCTCTTTTATTGCACTCGCAATTGATTTATTAGGGTTTTACTCATGGAAAGCACCGAAAATTATGCAATCAATTCTAAACATATTATAAGAATGTCAATTCAATTTTAAACTTTTTAATTTTGTCAGGTTTATTATAAACCTTTACGTAGAAATTACTGCACGGGTGGCTATTTCTTTAGGCGCGCACTCTTCCTCTCGCAAAAGGTTGAGTGTTCGAATCCCGGGCGCCGCGGGGACAACATTGGCACGTGTGTGGTGGGTAGCACGTGTCGCCCCGGGGTTTACTCCCGGTGTCAGCCGACGTGCGGAGGTTCACTGGGTTACCAAAAAAAAAAAAAAAACCTTTACGTGAAATTTTATTATAATCCTTTTGATCAATTTTCATCGGGAATTGTTGATGCGGCAATATGCTACACAGGACAACCGATGATGACTAGACTGTCAAGTCGGCAATTCTGGCGAAAATTGATTAAAGAACTAAATTGACAAAATTGAAAAGTTTAGGACTAAATTAACATCCGTACAATAAGTTTAAAACTAATTAGATAATTTTCTCTGCGGAAAGCACACTGTATTTCATGTGAGTCGGAGAAGATGAAAAAGGAATAATGACAAAAAGGCGGATACTATTTTACATTGTTCAGTTTTCAATTTATGATAAAAAAAACTTAGATCGACTTTTGAAATTATATGTTTGCTGCCTCAACTCGGCAAATTTATGCACTTATTAACAAGATCGCCATTTAATTCTCCAAAAATGCCTTCCCATCTTTCACACCACTCACATCCAAATCCTGATCAACAAAACACAAGTCGTAACCCCTTGCTTAGCCATCACACCCTGTGGCCTCTGCCAAATGCCAAGGTCTCCGACCAGTCATCCTCCCCAATTGGACCTCTCTCTCGTGCAAAGGAGGTGCCATCATACCTTAAACGTCGATACATGTGTGAGTTGTGTTTGAAATGTCCTAAATCGAAGAATTGATATGGTGTGGAATAGTTAATATATCATAGTTGGCCCATAACTTATTAACTTAAGCTTTTGAGTGAAGGTGAGTCTAATTAGATATATTGATATATTTTCCCTTAGTGATCTCCCTAGGTGAAGCTATTGAACTTCTGCTGCATACTCCCAACAAATGATTGATTGGTGGCCCACTCCCAATATGTATTGGTGCTTAATAAATATCTCAATAAATGAAACTCATGACCAAAGCAGTTTTCGAGCAGCCGTCATGGTTCAATCTGGCGGAAGAGACATGTTTGAAGATGCGCAATGCATCATTCATGGTTTGATTTGGAGAAAGAGATGAGGATGAAGGTGGGCATGGTCTCACAAGGCAACAAAGTGTATATTTAACTTGAGACATCTTGATGCAGAAGAGTACTTGGATTAAGGTGCAACACACCTAATATTAAGTTTATACGTGAGGGAGAGATTGTTGAGAAAAGTCTCACGTCGAAAAATTGGTATGGTGTAAAGCCGTTAATATATCTTAATTGGTCTATAACTCAATGATTTAAGTTTTTGAGTGAGGGTATCGGGTTTCTACTGCGCGCTCCTAATATGATCTCAAATCGAGGTCGAGACGCCCTCGATTCAAGGCCGCGTATGGCCGTGGTGACCCTCACCAAGGCCGGTCGTGATTGTGAGAGGTAAAAAGATAATAAGTTTTAGTGGCCGAGAGAGAGAGAGAGAGAGAGAGAGAGAGAGAGGCTATGGGAAAAGAGAGAGAAACTACTAGGGCTTAGAGGGCGACGGCCGGCATTGGCCAAGTGGCGAGACAGAGGCGATGGCGGTTGGCGGTGAAGGAACATGGTGGCATACTTGGATCGAGAGTTCGGGCGTGTGGGTGGTGTAAGGTTAGGTTTTTGAGCTCTTTATATGAAGGGGGTATTTCAGTCATTTTAGTTGAGGCGACGTATGTAATTTGTAATTTTGGAAAACACACCTATCTTCTTCTATTTTTTATTGTGGGAATGAAAAATTGGGGCATACATTTGTCATCTTTCCCAAAAAAAAAAACAAAGGAAAGCACCGAAGCATACCAAGCCCATGTAAGGCAAATCATCAATCCAAAGCCCACAGAACTTCACATGGATAGGTCAGTCTTCGGCCTAGGCGACTGTCACCACCAAGCCCATGATGCACAAGCGATTCTTTTGGACTAGCTCAATCATTATTAACATTGGTTCACGACCTTAATCAAACAATGATTAACATTGGCTCAAGACCTTAATCAAACCATTGCTTTCGAAATGTCAACTTCATTTTTTACACCATCTATCGTTATATCGACTAAGACCGGACCGAATCGAAAGCTTAATTAGAACTAATCCGTGATTGATGCGAGCTTACCGTTAGATTCTTAGTTGACTTGGATTCTTTATAATGTTGGTCGGCTATTAATATAGTCAGGCAAGATTAGGTGTTGCTATTTATTTTGACCAAGACCGAGCATGGCATACACTATATCTAAGCAGCTCATTACATTATGACAAGATAATATTCTCGAGACTGTAATATTCTAATTGCAGTCTAATCGTGCTTAAGACAGAAAATTTAAATTAACTTAGGTTCTAACCAACATTATAATTTATAAAAAGAAAAAGTCGACCTTCTTGGGGACACATACGGGACATGTGTAATGTAACCTAGGAATCCTTCGAGAGAGAGCGCATGTTATTGTGACAAACTTCCCTTGTAGAATATAAACAATTCCTTTATGTGCCGGCTAAATTTTGAAATATATATAATATATTGTATATAGAGAGAGACACACGCATAACATTATTTAATGACATAGCTACATAATGCTCTATTGAATTAAAAAAATCTCATCATTTTTTGTCGAATACTATTTGGCGCCTAATCTGAATGGAGCTAAGTTGCTCATTTCCCTTATGATAGTTATTGCACATTTTTCCAATTTTGCTGATCACCCGTATAGATAGTCCTAGACTCCTAGTAAGCTCAGCAAAATCAACCTGTAGATGACTTGTGACAGCCAATCGCAGCCCCATAGTTAGTCACTTGATATCCGGCTGCGCTCGACACCCAGATATTTTACTTCTTTTCGAATGAGTAAAATTCGATTTTCGACCATCCATGGGGCACGATCGAATAAGCACATAAAGTGAAAAAGGCAACATACTTTGCTCTTCGCTCTTTGTGTTAAAGATCTAGTGCATATGCGGTACCACAGTCATGACAAACCTTGGGATTGCATACACGGTATTAGGGCACGTTTGTGTGGAAGAATATTGCTTTTGAGAAATTGTTTTCAGTCTTTTCGGTGTTTAGATGACGAAAAACTAATCAATTTAAGGAAAATGTTTTCCATGGATCAAAAACAGATTGAGGGAAAATAACTGTCCCTTCTGGCAACAAGAAGATAACTTTTCTTAAATCACTAAACAAACAAAGGCTAACCATTTTTCTCGAAAGTAATTTTCACGAATGATATTTTCTTTCAT